TTCCATATGGAGAACTGCGTTTATGTGGAGTAAACTTGATGAGAACGTTTTTCCAAATGTATTTAATCTCTAGCGATTCAAATCCAATGTGAATCGCTACTTTCGCACAGGCACCGCTCTAAGAGCACCTTAAGGATTTTCCTGTAGTGCTTGTGTTCTGTTCTTTAAAAAAATTCAAATTGGGGCATATTTTTCTACAGCATGTTGTTAGGTTCGTGGAGATTTTCTTACATTTGAACATAGTTATTGCCATAATATATTTAGTATTTAACGAGACTCTCGTTGATTGAAATTCACTTTATTATCACTCTGCAAGTTGTTATATTTTTGTATCACTCATAGTAATGTTTCTTACTGTTGAATGCAAGTGAAACCCATAGGTATTCAGTGTTAATTTTTGATTCGTGGAGATTTTGTTGTATTTCAACAAAATGGTAATAAGCATGGATTAAAAGCTTGCAATTTACTTCAAAAACTTTAATTGCAATTCCTGTTTATTACTACATTTTACTTTTTATCTATTCAGCAGAAACTGAACAGTATGAATTGATGAGATGTACTCTGGATGATTCTTCATGCAAAAAACCCTTTTACGTAAAGTAGAAAATGAAAGTTATTTTAATGAAACAAATGTATTGATTAAATAAAAAAAAATCACTTGAGTTTCATTGCCCATATTATTTTAGGCTGGAGATCATGTGACTATTAAGGAATGAATGTCGACAATTGTTGATTTTATTTTTGAAATAACTGCAAATTGATCTGTTGTATTGAATCGTTGGTTAGATTTATGTACTCAGTTGAAAAATCCTAATCATTATAAACCAAGACTCACGAAAGTATAACTCAAAATCGTCCAACTAGTTGACAGCCTTATTTAAATGTATATACTGGCATTAAAATATACTGTTTCCAACCTATCTCAACACTGCCGGCAAATTCAAAGTACTTTGATATACATTTTTATCTCAGCTATACTTCTAATTATCCTCATTCCATAGGTGTTTCAGGAAATAATCTTCACGAATACCTCTCGATATTTTTTCACAGGAATGTCCATTTTTCAAAACTGAAACTTCGCTATTTTTGAAAAATACATATCGAGCCACCAACAATAGATAAAACCACTAGTTCAATTCATACAAAATGGTTGTTCTTTAGAATCTTAAGATCGTGCCGGCTTGCCGCACTAAAGCGAATATAGAATGTAGAAGGCTGTCATTCTCGCCTCACGATATGTGGTCAGCACATATGATTCTTGGGCCCAATATTCATTTACCACACGGTGTGAGAAGTGGTCATCAGTTGATAATGTTGACAGGCCCTCCCGAATATCGAGGCTTCAGTGACAGGACTCGACCAGTGCAACCTGACCAACCTGATAGGCTCTGAAGCCGAAGCTCCAATCCTTTCTGAGGTTGTGCCAGCAGCATTAACCAATAATCAATTCGCTCAATCGTGAGATGAGTAATAATATTATTAATACTATTATCTTTTCTCGTAATATATCAAAAGCCTTGATATATGTTTGAGTTGGCAAATTTCTAGGTACTTAATGTCAGGATACCGATTTTCAGTACAGATTTCAAACACCACACAATTTCAAATGACATATGATGTATTATACCTAAGCAAACAAAGAGAAAGACAAGCGGAAGCGAAATATTTAGCAAATTTCATATTCTCAAAGAGGCATAATCACACTACTGAGCACGTACTCTATTAATATGAATGATTCACAAGCCGTCTGAAGATTGGAGTGGCAGACGTATTTTCGAAAAAGTTTCAATTATTATTTTGATATGTATCAAATTATTTTTCTATATTTGACTAAAGATGATACGAAAGAAACAACAATAGGCCTTTCCACAATAAGACGAGCGCAAGCGTAGCTGTCAAATTGAAATGGCGGTAATTAAAAACATTCGTACTCTTTTAATCAACAATGGCTGGGCAAGGAATATTATCTCTACAAACAAATAAATTATTGGAAAAAACCATTGATGGTGCTTCACTTGTTAATAATTCAGTTGAGGCTCATAGTTGTGAACAATTAAAAAGGTGGTTAAAACGTCATATGGCTGATACTGACGCATGTGCACAAAAAAATTGTGATGAAAACGCCTATGAAATATTTCGTTTTTTCATCAAGCCGGTGATCATTGTTTCGACGTATTAGTAATTTTCTGAAATATTTCTAATGAAATTGTTGAAACAAAAATACCTAGAGTTTCATCACCGGAAAGGTGTGATGAACTCGGAACTAGAAAACAGAAATGTCAAGAGAAAAATGACCATGAAATTAATGATTCCTGAAGTAGAAACTTTCTCGAATTGTGCTCAAGTTAATTACACAAACAATGTTTTGGTAAATTGAATGTGGAAAAATATAATGAGTTTGAACAATTAACTAATGAATAATTTTGTAACAGGTAATGAAGCGATCACTCAGTAGCATGTAATTGGACACCAGTTATATGACGAATAATTTTTTTAAGCCTGTTATATAATGCAGTTTTCTCACGCCGGCTGATCTGTATAACTCTTTAATATTTGCATAATCAAACCAGGTCAAATCACTAATTTTACTTGAAATACGATAACCTTGTAACAATTTATATGAGTTGCAAAAGTGAATTCGTTGACACTAGCCATTTGAATTATTTCAGCAGAGTTGATATAATATATCAGGTCAACAATATCAATATGAAATACATACAATATTTCAGGTTTCAGCTTGAGTGATTCATTTAATGTGGAGGTGTGTTGTGTGTTTATTGAATAACACAAACTACATAATTATGTTTTGATATATCATTTTCATAAGGCATAGGTATGGCACCTTAAGTGAGATTTTGATAAATATAAGACAGGTTCGCTCGAAAAAAAACACTGTTGATGCTGTAATTTCGGTTTTGGTATGTATTGAATACTCACTTTCTCAATAATGAATGTGATTGCAAAACATTTTTTGGAACAAAAGAAATCATAAAAAGTTGAAATAGCAATTCGAAGAAAACTTGTGATGAATGATGAATATTGCAAATTAGTTACTTTCGCTGAAATTTTAGAAATCAATCAACGATAGTGATTTGCGGATGTCTTCTGAAAATATTTTGGCTGGTTTCGAATTACAAATAATGTGAAAATTCCTTTATTTTTTATTGACAACATTGAAATTATTATCTTTTTGATGGTTTCTCTTCATATATGGAAAAAATATGTTTTAATGAAAATATGCTTCAGAGAAAAAACCTAACAAAGTTATTGACATGTACGACCGGATAACTTCCCTCCATATCTCGCACCCTATTGAAAGGTTGTAGCTTTCAATACCATCCAAGCCATAATTGGGTAAAGGCTGGATTTGGTCGACCAATGGTTAGACACAGATCTTAGCTATCGGCCGTCTAATGGTTCCACTTTCGACTGCAACATTAAAGACTCCAACGGTCTGGTACTTGCCACGAAAAAACTTTTTGCGGCTATTATCCTAGATATATCCTGGATATTATCCTCCTTCACTAAGATCATTAGTGTGGGCTCTAAGCAAACGTGATGAGCTAAGAGCGACAACCTTCTGCTCTTTCCTGACCAAGATTTTTGCCTACTGCAGCAAACCGGTATGACCGCACGATCTTCGCTTCATCCGGAGTAGAAAACTTACTTTGATGGTGATGGTGATAATTCTCATTCCCCACAATGGATTCAATATCTCTCGAAGCGTAGGCCAACAACAATGTATCATAAAAACCGTGAAAGAGTCGTAGGAGGTTATAAATCATTCTTGGGGTCGCGTTATGTCGATGAATATAGAGTGAGACCCGCATATGCTGGACGTGGCGACAGCAAATGCATTTGGGCTGCAAGCCCTGCACCTTTTGTCTGAAACCTATATACCAATCACGCAACTACGGAGGACTAAGGTGTTATAAACATCATCCTGGCAGTTGCTAGCCCATGCATCGACTTAATTTTGTGTTGCCGCAGGAATGATGTGATCTCTGAAGCTTTGTTGAACGGGTTTCAACTCGGTGACAGAGTATTGATAAACTCGTTCAGAGTCGAAAAATAAATTCTTCCGTGATCAAATTTCACATAAATCCGAAAATTGAGATTTTGATATAAATTTTTTCCGTTTATATCCATTCTCTGGAAATAATGTTGAAATATAAAATCTCTCGTACACCATCTCAATCTATCATAATGCGTGTTGCCCCATAATTTTGAAAATTTTAATTCTGACCAATTGTTTTAATTCAAAATAGAATACGACGGACATGAACCATTAACTCAAATATGTAACATGGCAAAAACTACTTGCGTAGTGTGCTTAGAGGACCACGACGAAGACTGGATACAATGCTCTAGTTGTCAAGAGTAGGCTTATGACGCATGTGTCGACATTCCTGAATGTAAAGATGTGTATATATGCGACCGATGCACGGCATTTCAATAGTGTCCGGCGAAGTTGTGTACGTCCGGTACTAGATGCCAGTGCCAAAATTTTAATTTTTTGTACGAAAGCCCTATTGAAGTTCCTAAATATATTTGAGCAAAAGTTGTATTTTTGTTTATTGATTTTGACTTGACTAATATATAAATAAAGTTACATTTTTTGAAGTATCTTTTATTTTATTTTCTGAAAACCTTAGGTGTCGCCACTGGGGGACTTACCCCTACACATACACTCAAGTTAATTGCTCAACATTTCGACAAATATGGATTTGAATTGAATGGACTGATCCGTTCAATCCACTGAAATTATCAGAAATTGGTGTTCATGATAGGAGTTCTCAAACTTTTGATTTTATCACGATACTTGTAGTCACATAATTTATTACATGTATAACCTGCGATAACAACCATACCAATTCCATTATTTTGAAAATTCAATATCCTATATCTGCTGCAAACTGCTAGCAAACTTTTCAAAGTTATTGAGAGACCAATTAAACCAAATTAAAATCAAAATAAATGTAAAAATATTTCTGTTACAGGTTGTGCTGATATCCTCCTTCTATTTCACGCAAGGAATTCAAGTTCATCACTCATCTCATGCAGTTGCCGGAACTAAAGATCATGGTGAGAATTATTGAATCCCTGCAATAGTCAGTTGAATATTGTCATATGCAGAATTATCCTCCAGTATATTAGCATCAATTGAATTTTTGAATTAAGTTTTTGAATGCCGGTTTGGATTATGGTATCCCTTGGAGTTACACTCATCATTTTTCAAACAAAAATACATTCTGTTGAGATATACTACATGGGCTGAAAATTCTCAGGACTAACACATAGATGGCGCTAGTCTTATTGCATTCACCGCTTTTTCAGTTAATAAGGAGTCACTGTGCTAAGAGTGACACTCTTCGTGTTTTAACACTGCTTCTTGATGGGAAAAACGATTCAAGCGAAGCAATGGCTTGAAATGTGTTATGAAGACTCTGCTCCATCAGTTGAACGTCGGTTTGCTGACTTCAAACGTGGTCGTAGAGAAACCTATGATGCAAAACACAGTGGCCGATGAGGCAGTAATACTAAAAAAACATTAAAAAATATCCACAAAATGAATGATCAAAAAGTGAAGTTGAGTGCGGTAGCTGACATAGTGAAGATATCGAAAGAAAGTGTTGGCTTCATATCGCATGAGAATTTGACTATGAGAAAGCCCTGTCCAAAGTGAGTGCCGCGCGAGCTCACTGTCGACCAAAATCAAGAACACCTTGATGATTCTGAGCAGTGTTGGCCATGTGTAAACATAAAAAACTGGAATTTTTGCGGTAATATGCGACAATGGATAAAACATGGATCCATCACTTCACGCCGGAATCAAAACGATCGTCATCTGAGTGAAGATCAACTGGTGAACTTCGTCAAAAGCGCCTGAAAGCACAACAATCGGCTGGAAATGTTATAGCCTCGGTATTTCGAGATGTGCATGGTGTTATATTCATCAACTAGTAGTAGAATATCATCAACAGTGAATTTTATATAGCATTATTGGAAAGTTTGAAGGTCGAAATTGCAAAGAAACAAACACATATTGCAAAGAAAACAATGTTGTTTATTCAATACAACGCACCGCCAGATTTGGCTCCCAGCGACTACTGGCAGACCTCAAAAAACAGCTGAGACCTATTTTGAGGCAAAAGGTAAATCGTTTCATAAAAGTGGCATTGAAATGTTAGAGCGGCGCTGGAATGATTGTGTGGCTCTTGATGGAAGTTACGATGATGAATATAGCAAATAATGAATGAAAAAAGCGTTTTTTTCTTAGCCCATGTATTAAGCTTGTCGCCCACTTGTCCAGCACAGCGCTGTCCGTCGCCTGATGGCTATGGGTAGTAGCATCGCCCATTTGTCCAGCTACAACCAGCATACTGAAGGTGCTGTTTGTTCGATTTCACAGAAATTTCAGTAGATATCGAGAGGTGACAAACATGTCTATCACTAACAGTTCTGGCGAAGAAGTCGTCATTATACTGGCCGCATTATTTAATGTAGAAGAAAATAGTCACGAAAAAGAATATTGTGGGTCCATCCCATTAATCAAAAGAGTTGTCGACCAAAATCAAGAACACCTTGATGATTCTGAGCAGTGTTGGCCATGTGTAAACATAAAAAACTGGAATTTTTGCGGTAATATGCGACAATTGATAAAACATGGATCCATCACTTCACGCCGGAATCGAAACGATCGTCATCTGAGTGAAGATCAACTGGTGAACCTCGTCAAAAGCGCCTGAAAGCACAACAATCGGCTGGAAATGTTATAGCCCCGGTATTTCGAGATGTGCATGGTGTTATATTCATCGACTATCATGAGAAGTAGAATACCATAACAGTGAATATTATATAGCATTATTGGAACGTTTGAAGGCCGAAATTGCAAAGAAACAACCACATATTGCAAGGGAAACAATGTTGTTTATTCAATACAACGCACCGCCAGATTTGGCTCCCAGCGACTACTGGCAGACCTCAAAAAACAACTGAGACCTATTTTGAGGCCAAAGGTAAATCGTTTCATAAAAGTGGCATTGAAATGTTAGAGCGGCGCTGGAATGATTATGTGGCTCTTGATGGAAGTTACGATGATGAATAAAGCAAATAATGAATGAAAAAAGCGTTTTTTTCTTAGACCTGGGACTTTTCAGCCCATGTATTAAGCTTGTCGCCCACTTGTCCAGCACAGCGCTGTCCGTCGCCTGATGGCTACTTCCCAGGCACGTTTGGACAACTTGATGCTGACCGGCGACGCGCTCAATTGGCGAGTCCGGCACAGCACGCACCGTTATTTGCCGGACAGGAACGGAGAGCTGGAATCCTTTCCGTCGGCGGACGCTCTTGGCTGTGCCGTGCCGGGCTAGTGGGTGGTTGTCCATTCATTTTCATTGTTCGAATCCTATCCGTATTTTGACGGGCCGTGCTGTGCTGTGCCGCAGAAGTGGGCGACAAGCTTAAACTTGTCGTCCACTTGTCCGGCGTAGCACAGCACGGCGCTGTACGTCGCCTGATATCGACGGGTTGTAGCATCGCCCACTTGTCCAGCTACAAGCAGCATACTGAAGGTGCTGTTTGTTCGATTTCAAAGAAGTTTCATTTGACATCGAGCAGTGACAGAAACATGTCAATGTCCATTTATTTTCATTGTTCTAATCTTATCCGTATTTTGACGGGACGGGCCATGCTGAGCTGTGCCGGACAAGTGGGCGACAAGCTTTATACGTCTTCTCGATCAGTTATTGCGGAAGTAATAAACTACTCATTTATTTCTATGTGATTGTTGATAACAACTCATTTCGTTGTGGCAGATTCACTTCACATATTAAAAATGAAGATGCGTTTCAACCTTTACAGTTGAATTTTTACATTGTTAAGGAATTTCGTACAGATAACATAATNTTCTGAATAGATGATTGTTTTGAGACGTACACGACGGTGAACAGCTGTTTCTGAGCGATGGTGTAAATTAATCAGTGAAATAATATTTTGTAATTTTCTGGTGATGATGAAAACTATAGAGAATTTGATAGTTTTCATTTGATGGAAATTATTAGAACAGGGTGTGTTCCTTCATGAAAGTGAAAAATGCATCGAAAAATTAAATGAAATAATAATTCATTGAATTGAAACTGCCAAGTAATTTTACGACTGCATGACAAAACAAAATGTTTTTGTTATTACTCACAAAACTGAAAATATTGATATTTTTTAAATTTTGCTAGCTTTCTAGATCTGTTTTTAAAGCTGCCAAGTATATCTTGGATGCACTGCCCATTTAACAGAGGTATGTCTAACAGATTTCTCAAGAGGCACACGAATCGTGAGAGGTGCTAAAGGATACAACTTTATAGATGAGAATAAAAATGATGCTAGTAGAAACTAAAAAAAGGGAATTGTTCACATCGATAAATAATTTTAATATATTAATAATTTTTTCATAATTTAGAGGAAAAATTTGTTATGGACGTGCGGAATTTACCTACTTGTGAATGAATTTCAGTTCTTGGCGAGTTCATTTTTAATTTTGATAGCTAGCAAAAAAGTTAGTGTTGCACACCAAAATCAATTATAAAAACATTTCAGAGGACTGTCGTTTTGTATAGGGAAAAATTGTTTGAGCATTTTTATTATGCTACTGAACGCTTTTTCCCTATCTGAAATCCTGAGGAAAAATGGGAAATATGAAAGAATACAGCTTACTGAAGATGTGGTTTCGAAAACTTAACATTCGGTGATAAGGAAGGTCCGGTCCTGGTGTATTGGTATTTCAATTACAGTTTTTCGGAAAATATGAAAGATATATTTGTATTCGAATGATAGGAAAATCAAACAGTTTATCTTGAAATTTAATCCTTCAGGAAAACTTTTTCAGTTGCTAGCAGTTGCTTTTCCAGTTGTTAGCTGCTAGCTAATCATTTAACAAAAAATATAGGAAACTTCCGAAAAAGGGAGAAACAATCGACTTCAATAAAGAGATAAATAGATCATGCACAGAAATTTCTTCCAGATAAAAATTTGAAGATAACACGGTTATGAACATTATGAAAATTATGAATGATTGGGGTACTATGTCTAAAGTCACAAAAGTGATTTTTGTGTAATTCAATGTTTATATGCTTGAAAGTAGTTGTTTTGGATGGATTTATTCTTCCAATTTCTATCTGAACGTGATTTCTCTGTAATATATTTTCATCTTTGTAAAAACTCGATTAACGGATTCAATTTGCTCGTGTTCTTCGAAAAATTTATTATTTTAATGATGAAGTATTTTCTGATAGTTTTCACAAAAGTCATCGATTTATTTATCTGCATACCCATTTCTTTCACTATACGGCAATGTCATTTTTCTCAGATTTATGTTGCATCTCACTATTAGTATAAATTATATGAAAAAATTTCAATGTTACCAATGGAATCCCTTAATTTTATTGAAATAATAATTTTCAAGGACACGGTGAACATTTAAGCGAGCACAAGCATGAAACATCTAGTGGCGGTAGCAGTAAGCACGATGTAGAGAAAAGAAAGAAAGGACAAAAAGGTAACGTGTTGCATAAAATAGAACATGAGGAGGGCGGCGGAAAAAAATCTCACCATAACTCAGAAGACTCGCACAGTTCTTCTAAGAAACATGGAGGTGGATCACAACATGGGCTCAAATTTGGAGAAGGCAGTGCAAAGAAAAAAGTCAATTTCAAAAAGGTGAGTAGAGTGCATAAGGTGGGGTTTTTCCTATATAAGGTAAATATAGTTCAACTGTACCTATTTGTTAAAATACAGTTGAATGAAATTTACTTATTTTGCTACTTACTGCATGACTCTCTTCTGATATGATCATCTATAGATTTCAGATTTGGCTCGTGTGAAAAATGTTTGAAATTCAAATGAAACTTTTTTGTATTCCGGGTTATTTCTCATGTTCGGTTCTGAGCATGCGGAGCGTTCTGAAGGTGTATCGTCAAAAATAAACAGGTCGGTCGATAGCCAAGCGGTTCGGCGTGGGTGCTTTGTTCACTCACTCGAATTGACTGCCGTGTTGGTCGGTGGTTCAAGCCCTAGTCTGAACGATCGATCTTCACTTGCTACAGTCCAACCCGTGTTACGAATCACACGTTAAAAGGTAAGACCTCGTTAATCCTTAGCTCGCACAAGTTTCGACTTCTGAGGGTCGTCTTTCGTAGGGGTGCGACAGCTGGTTAACGGAAAAACAGATTTAAAAACAGTTGAATTGGTATACTTTTCATAAGAGAAACCTCTGTGCTTTTTCGTTAAATTTTATGAACATTTCCTAATAACCAGTTCATTGATTTTTCCTAGCTCATTTTCAACATTTCAAACTCAATAGTACTCACCCAATTATTTATTTCGAACTCTCAGGACCTTTCGATTGATATTTTATATTCGGCCATTTCTGTTTCCCTTTTTATTTTTCTACTTCGTGTTCTTGCAATTTTAAATTTCTTCTTGTTTACTATAGAGGGCGAACTTTTTTCACTGCCATAAATTACTCGTTCAGAAAATGCGTCATTTTCTGAACGAGTTTATAATTCGCTCAGAAGATGACACAGTGTGTCAAAACAGCTGTTAGCATTTAATGTTAGTGTATTGAAAATCATGAAGTCTTATTTTCACCCTACCTATTCAATTATTTCGAAATTTTTTCGCAAAACTTAAATTCATTCATGGTTAGCATTAGATACAACGAAGCCACTTGAAACTTTGTCATCTAATTGAAATAATACATTTCTATCAATATTGCACATTCATTTTTCAATTTCGATTGCCTAGTGGGATCGGACATTAGGGTTTTCTTGTAAAACTTAATTGTTCGCATTAGAAATAGCAATTTCATTTGAATCAATAATATTTTCAGGGGTTCAGTGAGCAGTATCATAAGGACGAATCAATAAACCACGACAGTTTCTACAGTAAAGCTGATAAGAATGGAGAATTTGAAATATTTGGACAGAAACATTCTAAATATAAGACTCAGGAATTCGAGAAGAAGAATCTTGGAAAACACAAGGTGACTGGAAAATAGACAAACATACTCCGTTATGAAAGTGTCTGTTAGTTTATTGATTTTTGTTGATCATTGTTGAAATGTGTTTTCCAGTATATAATATTTCCAATTTTTCAACAATCTTATATTCCTTATATTCCTGTGAATTTTGACCTTTTGAATAGGTGTATTCCATATTTGGGCGAGTTCCTAGTAAACATCAATTCTATTTGTGAAATATCGCTACACAATAGCTTCCTTAGGCATTCTCAACAACTGCATTTTTTCAACGTGTGCTTCATGTACTAACAATTCTGATCATGTGACCTTCTACTTATGTAATGACTAATCACTTCATCTGAGTTTAATTGAAACTAATTGAAACTTTTAAACATCAAAAAAATATTTCAAATCATCAAGTGGAACACTGAATTATAAAAAAAATATTTTTCTCTACTCAGTTTGTATTCCCAACATTCGTTATGGAATTGAATCAGATATCATTCGCAGGATTCCTACACAATTGACTAAATGGAAGAAGAATATTTAACTTTCATTCTCACTGGTAGACATCGATGTTTCAGGAGGGCTTTTTCTTTCAGTTTGTGTCTGAAAGTTAGTTCTCTGAATGATTTTCACATTTATGTGTAGAGTTACTTATTGTGAAATTAATTGCTCCTTTCACTTCTTTGAAAGTTGCCCACATTTTTTTTGTATCAAGTAGTAGAAAGCCAAAAACTTTCTTTCCCAAAAAATTAATCACTCAAAATATAACCCTTTCAATTTAAGGAATTGAATTTTTTCTTTTTCTGAATATGTTTCCCAATCTGGAAATTGCTAGTTAGTTCATGTAAATTTTCAATCAGTCTCCACCTGAACTCAGGTGGAATAATAAGTCATTGAGATATTATTTGAATTGTCAATATATTGTACATGTTCATTTGATGAGTTGGAATAATTTTGAATCACATTAGTTCGGACTTCAATTGTCCAATAATATATAAAATGATTTGAAATCCCTTAAAGAACCAATACAAATTGAAAATTAAAAGAATAGCATTGTGGACTTCCTTCTCCACTGTGAAAGTGTTTGAAGGACTTACGCTGTTGAGGACTTTTAGGAAAGCTTCTTGTTCATTATTTCCATGACTCGTAGTTTCGTTTCTGTACATGGGAATCTCTTAAACGATAAGAGATAGACTTTCGGTTAAATTATGGCAAAGTTGCGTATTTTAGAGACCTATTCAATGATGTAAAGAGATCGAATATAACTCATCAAAATCAGTCCACATTTTGCTATTGGCACTTGATGTGGGCTCTCTGAATATATCCATGAATCTTTTGTACAGGGTGTCATCTGACTTGGGCCACCCCCATCTTTGAATTTTTAAAAACGGACCTGTATTTTCTGTTGTAGTTTTTGGATCGTAGACGTTCACTTCATACTGAGAAATTAAATTCAATTTTATATTTCGGGATGTTTCGGTAATATTCGATTANTATGAGAGCGAGCAACTGCTAGTAATTTATATGTTTACTTTACAAATACAGTAACTGAAAAAATATGTCAGCTGCACTAAGTAATGAATGGCTTCGAAAATCGAATTATGCTACCTATAAAAAAATCGCAAAACTAACACAACCGTCAACAACGTCTGCCCTCACGCGTCTGCACACGTTCGAGTAGCGTTCTCGGCGATGGCGCTTCATTGCTTAGACCGTCCCTCAACTCCAGCGCATCCTTTCCCGTCGTATTGCAGTAGACGCGACGCGTAATGGCTACTGTGTTGCGTCAAATTAATCTTATCGTGATAACTTTTAAACGTTTCGTCCAGATTACTTAGTGTAAAAGACAAAGTTAATCTATATTAAATACTTAAAACTACAATTGTATCAATTTTTATAAGAATTTGATAGATATTCTAATATGTGCCTTGTAAAAAAATGATTCCAAGCCAAGTGAAGTAACTTGGCTTGGAATCTCTTAACTTTTCATTTTTGCTCATTTGTTCTATTTTTTTTACTTGTATTTTATTTCACTGTAATTTTATTTCAGGGTTTATTGCTTAATATAACTGTTACTTTCAGTTCTTCTCTTTAAATTTCAATATGTATTGGTCCATGAAATAATTTTCTTTCATGATATTTGAAAATTTCGATTAGGTTTTCCTAAATCCAAGTGAAGTTATCAGTAATAAACCAGAATAGAATGTCACATGGTCAAACTTGTTAGTATATAAAGCACAGATCGAGTTGAATTTATTTGTTATGAAAACGCTTCATGAAGCTATTGTATGGCGAAACAGATGATGCGGTTTTGTGAACTATCTAGTGGAAATATCACAATAAGTTATAGATTATCATCAAGTAACGGCCAATTTCATCACAAATATATATTTCATAAGATTCATGATTCAAATACTTCCTTATATTTACAGAAATCTGGGACCAACAACTCTCACGGTAGGTCCTCCAAAAAAGTTGGAGGGCACAACAAACAAGCCCATAAAGGTCACCAGGCACAGTCAGGGTCCAAATCTCATGCCAAGCATTCCAACAAATATGGAAGGAAGTCTTCAAACCATGGAGGAAAACAGTATCATTTCAGTACGACCCCTCATAAGTGAGATCGAAGGGATATAAAGATTATTATTTTTTAGTTTCTTAATTTTATTGTATGAAATTCTTGCGATGATGATATAAAATAAAGTTGTTTGAGTAGTAGAATAGCGTAAGCTAAACTCCGCCAAGATAAAAATAAAAAAGATGAAAATAAAAGTTTTTTTTTTCACCGTAGTGTGCGCTGGTCAGGCCCTATCCCCCGAAGCCCCGATACATTCGGGAGGGCGCGCCAGCATAATCAACCAATGACCACTCCCCACACCGTGGGGTAAGTGATCATTGGGTCCGAGAATCATGTGCCCTGAGCAAACGAAGTGAGCCAAGAATGTATTCATCTTCATTTCTGATCAGATCTAATGGAATTATATAACGGATTACAAAGTGAATAGGAAGATATGGTTTTCGTATAATCCAATATTCATATTGTTTTCTTTCTTTCATGTAATTCACTGTTCATGTGCAAGAAGTTTTTTCGGAAAGTATTTTTCCAGTGTGTATCTGGACGTTACTTTCATGGATGATCAGCCCATTTTTGTATAGAGTTTATTTGGAACACAATTGTTTTTTTTCCTATAAAAGTTTTCCACGCTTTGTGAATGAAGATACAGACAAAACATTTTTTTCCAAAAACTCATCTATCCTGAAAAAAGCCTCTTTCAATTTATATCTTTACTTTTTTTTAAGAGAATCAACCCTCTTATTCTTTCTAGTTTAAAAATTGTCAGTTTGACTTTTTTCTTTCAGTTTAATTATTATAGTCAAATAGTTTGAATCTCAAATCATTGAAATCATAGATTATTTATATTTTCCATAATATCATTGCGTTATAGTTTTTTAAATTACCTAAAGGAACAATTTGTTCAGGTCAGTCTCAACTTACCTATACTGTAGGTTAATGGATCAGAAAACAACTACTACCCTGGTTAATACTACGAAGGGCGTTGGATTATATCCGACAGGTGTAGTATTTTTCTCTGAAATTATTATTGCACATGCTGTTGGCGATGCAATTACCGAAATTGGTTTTCAATTATTGAAACACACTTGCAGACTGGTTTCGGGCTGTTTGGCCACTCGTCAGTGCAAGGTAGTATCTATCATTAACATGAAGTCGATGAATTCCCATAATTGAAAATCGAATTCCTTTCAGAGTATAATTCCTCGAACTAGGCTGAAGCGAACGACAAACGACATGTTTGTCATCGCCCCATCTGCCCATCAACGAGGTAATCAACCGGATATAATGCAACGCCCTTCTTAGTATGAGTCAGGGGAATAGTTGTTTTTGATAGGTGTAATTCTAATAATAAAGTGTAATTCTATTAACCTACACTATAGGTAAGTTGAGACTGGCCTGAACAAATTGTTTTATTAGATAATTTGAATTATAGCCAGTCTACAATTATTCCCACCCACTTCATGTAGAGTTTTCTTCTTATTATATTTTTTTCTCAATTTGATTAAATATCTTAATATGTTTCAAAATTTGGGATTGGATTTGTTATTTCTGTCATTTGATTACATGTGCTTCAATTTCAAAACTCAAAAATTTTGGAGATTTAGTAAGTGGATAGATTTTGTATGGTTTAATTCAAATCACTTGGGAGTAACGGTGCACAATAACCTTCAAAGAAATAGTTAACCACGTATTTCAAATGTCCGTCTAATGTAAAAAACATACTCGGCTGAAAAATACAATCTCCACCAGCAAGTGACAACATATCTCAGAAAAATCATAAACCAGTTGGTTCTCTTGGGAATATTTCCCAATGAACTAAATTAGCAAAAACAGTTGCCGTATTCGACAAAGGTTGTCCATATTTAAAGTATCAACGATCTCTTGCTGTTCAACTTATTCACAAATAAAGAACTAGTTCAATTCATCTACGATAATGACGAAATTGGTGAATTTTTGATTGGAATTTTCGTCGTGCATTAGACATAATAAATTTGAAATTTGTGGTAATAAAACTTGACTCCTTAGGTTTCGATAATCTGTAAATGATTTCATCTCATCCTACATTATGAATTCATTAATAGTCTTGGAACTCTGCAGAGTTCCCCACTCTTTCTGCTGTACATGAATGATATTCCAATCCTATATCTCGAAGGGTAACGTATATAGTAGATACAATAGTTATTATATCAGTAAAGACAATGCATGATCTCGAAATGGAAGCAAACATATTTCTTCTGAACTGAAATAGGTGCGAAATAAATCATCTCATGTATATGTATGCAGTTAACTAGACACGAAATGAAATGCAAACCGATATCTGTAAGTGCCTCCACAAGTTTTCGGCACAAAGGCGAATGGTCTGTCTGTATTTATCATACTGGGTATGTCTGTTCTAGATTGTTGCAATTTTGACTCTGAGAAATATTCCTGTCATTGATTTCCATTTCATATGATATAGTTGTCATACTGTGATTGTTCGTTCTCTTTACTTTATATATTTTTCTCATGAATATTGTGATTGGTTTCATATTTCTTAATATTTAAAACCATAAATCAGTATTGACTAAACAAATCCATTATTCCTTAAGTGGCTTCTAGGTTGATAAATGGATTGATTAAATAAACCCATAATTATTTCCGAACCCTAAAAATATAATATTAAAAGAATAATGGTGATGATATAAGAAATTTGTATTCAAAAGTTAATTTATATCCCTAAATTATATACCAAGAATATTGAACTCTTTCAAGTATCCTATTATAATATCATATCATAATATTGATAGCTGATTATCCAAAATACCTTATTGGAATTAGGAATGAATAAATTTTATTTTTGCTTGGTACCCTGCAGAAATGATTGTGGAGGTTGTGTTTATTTTGTAAAATATAATCCTGAAGAAACAATATGTTTATTGAATATTTTTCAGACCGAACTTCCAGTAGGATATCAAATTTCGCTTTACTATTTTTGCACTAAAAACAAAACTCTCAGCTAACTGTATCACTGCACTGAGACTACTGTTGAGGAATGATTACCTAAAATTTATTGAAGATTTGTGAAAAACAATAAATTGAAAACAAGTTTCATTTGGACGGTATGCTTGAATTTTATTTACAATAAAAATATTTTACACAATCTACTTGTCATAAAGGTACAAATGCCAAGGACTCCCACATACTTCAATCAGTGATTTGCAGTAATCCAGAATAATGTTATATAATTCAACTTCATTTCATGCAGACTAAAAAGAACATTCATCAATGTGGATGAAAGAATGAATAAATAACAGTGGTAGAAAAAATAATTGATGTACTGTTTTATAGTAATGCATGGTAAGGAACATGTTTATGTTCCTTACCAAATATGGTAGCTTTCGATATGAAATTTTTAAGAAACCTTTTGATCGATGAATGATTTCAATTCGATGAGTTTTTCATGTATGTGAGTTGAACTGATGACAGTTACGTTATTTTTCTAATGGAGCTGATGAAATATCGACATTTTTTAAAGAAACATTTATCACAGATAAGTATATCAAATTATAAATTATTACATTTCGTTCTTCTCGTTTGTAGTGAACTAACGATCAACTGATTAAAAAATCCCTGCTATCCAGCTTACTTCCATTTGATTGTTGAAAAGGTGTCAGATGTTTCCCTGTATCAAAAAATCCTCTTACATATCTCAAGAAATACAATTTTCTTCAATGAGTAACATGTTGACAGTTTCTTCACTGATATCGGTAGATGTAGTAAAAGCTGCTCTGATAGCAAAAGATAATGTTTGTATGACGAAAATAGCTTCTTGTGAATGGAACATTTTTGAACACTCCATGAAGTACTCGATATGGCGCTCTTCAATTTTTGCCAAACGCTCTCACAATTGAGGTTATACTTTCAAATCCACCAGTGATCATCCCTAGGAAGCCAAGAATTAGAATGAAGACGTCTTTGATAATGATCCATACAGGAAGATCGTTTTCTGTGTATCTTGTAATAAGGTTCAATATAGGAGGAAGCAGAAGAGCCAACGCTGTGCTACTGACCGCACCAACCAAAGAAATGAAGAGTCCGAGAAATGGTATAGCTTCGGCCAAAATAACTGAAAAAACAGAATGTTCAGACATTGATAACTTGTTCATTCCTAAAAAAACAGCATGGCACATGACAAAATATACACTTTTAAAAATCTGAAGCCGATTGAATATTAACCCTCAACAAAGTCATAAAATAACCGAAATTAAAAAGTGAAGTGAATTCATTTTATGCAAATTTGATAATACAATGGATGACCGAATCTGATGGACAATAAGTAGATTGTTATACTTTCCTCTGTTNAAAGAATAATGGTGATGATATAAGAAATTTGTATTCAAAAGTTAATTTATATCCCTAAATTATATACCAAGAATACTGAACTCTTTCAAGTATCCTATTATAATATCCTATCATAATATTGATAGCTGATTATCCAAAATACCTTATTGGAATTAGGAATGAATCAATTTTATTTTTGCTTGGTACCCTGCAGAAATGATTGTGGAGGTTGTGTTTATTTTGTAAAATATAATCCTGAAGAAACAATATGTTCATTGAATATTTTTCAGACCGAACTTCCAGTAGGATATCAAATTTCGCTTTACTATTTTTGCACTAAAAACAAAACTCTCAGCTAACTGTATCACTGCACTGAGACTACTGTTGAGGAATGATTACCTAAAATTTATTGAAGATTTGTGAAAAACAATAAATTGAAAACAAATTTCATTTGGACGGTATGCTTGAATTTTATTTACAATAAAAATATTTTACACAATCTACTTGTCATAAAGGTACAAATGCCAAGGACTCCCACATACTTCAATCAGTGATTTGCAGTAATCCAGAATAATGTTATATAATTCAACTTCATTTCATGCAGACTAAAAAGAACATTCATCAATGTGGATGAAAGAATGAATAAATAACAGTGGTAGAAAAAATAATTGATGTACTGTTTTATAGTAATGCATGGTAAGGAACATGTTTATGTTCCTTACCAAATATGGTAGCTTTCGATATGAAATTTTTAAGAAACCTTTCGAACGATGAATGATTTCAATTCGATGAGTTTTTCATGTATGTGAGTTGAACTGATGACAGTTACGTTATTTTTCTAATGGAGCTGATGAAATATCGACATTTTTTAAAGAAACATTTATCACAGATAAGTATATCAAATTATAAATTATTACATTTCGTTCTTCTCGTTTGTAGTGAACTAACGATCAACTGATTAAAAAATCCCTGCTATCCAGCTTACTTCCATTTGATTGTTGAAAAGGTGTCAGATGTTTCCCTGTATCAAAAAATCCTCTTACATATCTCAAGAAATACAATTTTCTTCAATGAGTAACATGTTGACAGTTTCTTCACTGATATCGGTAGATGTAGTAAAAGCTGCTCTGATAGCAAAAGATAATGTTTGTATGACGAAAATAGCTTCTTGTGAATGGAACATTTTTGAACACTCCATGAAGTACTCGATATGGCGCTCTTCAATTTTTGCCAAACGCTCTCACAATTGAGGTTATACTTTCAAATCCACCAGTGATCATCCCTAGGAAGCCAAGAATTAGAATGAAGACGTCTTTGATAATGATCCATACAGGAAGATCGTTTTNTCTTGTTACTCTTCAAATTATAAATTTTCATATAACTATTGAAGAAAAACGGCAGCAAAATTTGTGGTTTTTCCAAATTCATGATTTAGAGAAAGATATATCAGGGAAAAAGTGATTCCGAATAAAAATAAGTCTGGGGTAAGTGAGATAAAGAAACAAAAACGCTGATCACCCTATACCCGTCAACGTAGTAACCACTCCACCAACATCAACACTCACTCCACTCCTATTTGGAGTGGAGTGAGTGTTGATGGAGTGGAGTGATGGCTTGGATAATGCCGCCAACATATCACTGACAGAGGAGTATAATTTACAATTTACAAACTGTATCTTAGTTTCATCTTCAGGGTCTGTGGATTTTAGCGATTTTAGCGACCAACCAATCAACTTTTCGAAATCAATGAAAATCTAGATTAGTGGAAGTAGTTGAATATCAAAAAATATCATGCATAATTTCTCTGAGAATGCTGTAGAGTTCTATTAGTTTTTCTAAAAAATCAAGTTCAATCATTAGAGGGTGAAAACAGAATGGACTAATGAAAAGGATGATTTGTATGAAAAAATTTTACAGATTCATTTGATGTTTTCTAATTAGTGTATATTCTGTTAATGAATCTTTTATTCATTTCTTATCATCTATTAATAAACTCACATGTTAGAAAAACAAGTGCTGATCTGAAAGATAATTCTGCAAAAATTGGATACTTCGTCGGTCCGATTATATGAAGAACATTAGGCCACATGATTCCAACAGCAATATAGAGTTGAAGAGCATATGTCAGCAGGATTCCTATTGATATCACAATCTTAACGGATTGGTATAATCTGAAAACAAAATATTCATTTTTGAGTATATATTCACACCTAAAGATATAAATGTGTAATATGAATCGACATCTAATTTTATTAAGAATTATCAAAATTACTGAAAAATAATCTGAAATCATCTCGTATTATTAGCAATAGGGTTAAAAACGAAGGGTTAAAAATAAAGGAAGTAACAACATTATGAACAGAAAAACCCAGAAAGGGAAGCTTAAACTTGACATTGTAACAATTTGAGTCTTCCATTGATCCCATATATGACGTGTACTACTAACGCTTAATCTTTAAGTACAGTCGATTTCAGCACTTGGATCGTAGTTTTTTCGTCTATTTTCAATTGACCAGATCTACTGAATAGGATATGAAAGAAGCAATATCCTAAAATTTCACTGATTTTCATTTAAGTGAGTGATCATGAATTAAACTAAAGTAAAAAAGTCATCAATCACACATAAAAGGACTTGGGCTGAGACAGTGACATCACTTGACTCATCAAGAGCGATTGCGAACCAGTGAAAGTCCTTGCATGCGTCTTTCAGCTGATCAACAACGTTATTTCCAAGATCTTCCGTACGACGCGCTATGGTGTTCGCGGACAAACTATTAACATTGAAAAGTGATAGTAGTAGTAATACAAGGGGAACTTCAAGTAATTCAGGGTCAAGCACTGTGAATCTTATATTTGCTATAATAATAAATATATCTCCTGTGATTTGGATTCAAAACATCACGGTGAACATCCCAGCAAATTTTGGATACGCTATTATGAATGTGTCAGGGTTAGGGATTCATCATACATCTCGGTGTAAACATCCCAGTCCATTTTTTCTAATACGGTATTGAGAATTTGTCAAAATTGTAGGATCCCACACCACACACACACACACACGGTTGACATCTTAGCAAATTTTTGATATGCTATTGTGCATCAACAAATATGGGGAGGTGTCAACAAGCAATCGTGAAAGGAAGAAAATACCTCAATTTCCGTTTCACAAATGAATCACTATATCAATCAGGTATCAATAAACAAACACTATATCAATAAACTATAAACACTATATCAAACAGGTATCAATAAACAGAAGGGCAAACAATTATTTAAATAACTCAGTGATACACAAATATTCAAATAAACCAAGTATAACTTGCATGCTCCTTTTGGGCCACCCGGTATATGGTGTTAGGCTACCCCGTAGTTCGACGGAGGTGGTTCACCCTGTAGTACGGCGGAGATGGATCACGCTGTAGCACCGCAAAGATAGATCACCCTGTAGCACCACCAAGATAGATCATCCTGTAGGGCACAACAAGCTGGACCAGTAATGGATCACCAAATAGGACCCCAAAAAAAATAAAACCCCTGGCCAAGGGGTTTTCTATACGTTTCTTCGTGTGCGGTGCTCTGCACGGAAGTCCTACTGGGACTTGATGAGTGACTAAGGGCGTTCTGTTTCTTATGAATCTGATTTCGGAAATCCTTCCACCTGGCACAATGAGTTCGGTAACCACCACAAATCCTCAAAAGAGATTAAGTTTCAGACTGCAAATATCCACACCAAAATGACCAATCAGTCTTCCACTATACAATCCTGACTTGTAGAAATAATCCTCGTGAAGGATGGCACAAATACACTACAAGCACCAAGGAGGCGCTGTGCACAACAACATAAATCTATCAATTCCTCCACAGCCACTCGAGACATCATCAACAAGTCCATGACCCATCAAAACTCCTTCTCAAAGCAATACAACCCTAAAAAAACTCTTGACCATTTGAGTAACCGATCAATCCCTCACCCGTGAAAAACTGTAGAACTAGTTCGGTGTAGGTCGTCGGACCGACACTACGAAAGTTCGGCAGATGTCAACCAACAGCTGTCTCTTAACCTTGTTATTGAATGTTTACAAAAATATTGACTCCAACCTATTTTCAACTATTTACCAATCCTTATTCATGCCATGGAATAGAAAAATATAAGGTAAGTCGCCACATCTTTCCCATTCAGTACGAATATTTGAACATTCATATTATGCAGAATATTTACCGAAAATATCAAATAGTATTCAGAAACCCAGAGCTAAGTAATATTGTTTTTTAGGCGATATGACTCTAATATGTAAGTAAACCTTCTGGAAGTGATGAATAACAATCTATGCAAAAAATATTCATGGAAAGGTATAGAGAATAAGGCAGACAACGGCTGAAAAATGATAGGTGAAGAAAACTGAGAAACATACAATGACAACTATTTCAACCTAGCGAGGAATTTCTCGGATCTCCAACGTCGATTGGCAATAGGAGTATGCGAAGTGAGTGATAAGTACTGATCAAAGCAGTTAGTCCGGGAGCATACATATATTTTATGGAACGGAAGATTCCCATTACTATGATGTTGAATGAATAAAATCAACTTGTAACTGAATTACATTGTTATCATCCTCTGAATAAAGATCTTAAAAGGTAAGGTAGTGTTTTGAAAGGTCACATAGGAGCAGTTTTGATCTAGTGCTAAATTGAAACGTAACAATCCCACCCTTTCTTGAAGAAATTTACCCTGTAAATTTCACTCAAATTCTCAAGAACTTAGTCTTCTGAATATGAAGGTTTTAAATCCTTCACATGCCAGGAACCCTTCGAATTACCATCAGAGTCCCTCAATTCATAAGTCCAAAGCGACAGCCATTTCTTGATGTAGAACGGGGCCAACTTCTTACTAAAGTATCTCGATGCATCTGATAAGACGTAGTTACGTTTCCATACCGGCTGATTCGGCACATACTCTTCATGACGACGCCTGAGATTGTATTTATCACAACTTTTTTTAGCAGCAACCGTTTCCGAACATCATGGAACATTTTACGAAAAGCTTCATTCTTCGTAGTATCACCAGTCTGAGAACCATTCTCCTCTTCGGGAGGAATACCCTGTATATATTCATTTCCAGACAAAACCATTTTCCTACCAAAATTTATGAAATACGGGGTCAACTTAGTGACTTCGTGTCTAGAACTGCGGATAGCACAAGCAATCCCATCAAGTTTCTCATCCCAGCATCGATGGTTGTCAGAGACATACATTGCCAACATTGTCTTCAGGATGCGATTAATTATTTCCGTCGGATTCGCTTTCGGGTTGTAGGGAGCACTGAACTTAATTCGGGAGTTATAGCGATCAGCAAACTCAAGAAACTTCTTATTACGGTACTGAGGACCATTATCACAAATTAAAACTCTTGGTACACCAAACATAAGGAAAACATTACTTTCAATTTTGGCAATTATAGCCTCAGTAGTAGCTCGCCTCAGAGGAAATATAAGAGGAAACTTACTGAGATAGTCGGTTACGACTATCGACTCCAACGACTCCAACAAGATCTGTGGAGATGATTTCCCACGGACGGTCAGCCTCAGAGTGTGATACCATCTTATCAACAGGTCGATCCTGAGATACTTTATGACGTGCACAAACCTCACAATGACGAACAAATTTGGCAATATCACTTCGCATCTTAGGCCAATAAAAGCGATCTGCAACCCTAGCAAAGGTTTTAAACACATCCGTATGCCCACTAGTGGCAGGTTCGTGAGCAGCAACAATAATGTTGTACCGATCGGACTTAGGCACGACTAATCTCCAGTAGTCAGATTTTGATGACAAATCAGGATAATCAGTCCTAACATACTTCCATAATTTACCGTCAGAATATCTCCAATTGGCAAACTTTAAGGGACTCATCGTCAATCCCTCCCAATGTCGGCTCATCAGCATCGCTGACTGCGACAAATTCTACCATAGGTACTGACCGAGAAAGCGTATCCGGCACTACGTTATCCTTTCCTTTTCGATGTACAATCTTAAAATCATATTGTTGGAGCCTCACTGCCCACCGCGCAAGTCTATCGCTCGAATCCTTTAGGCTATGAAGCCATAGAAAACTGTGATGGTCTGTCACTACCGTGAAAGACACTCCTTCAATATATGGTCTGAGTTTCTCCACAGCCCATAGAACTGCAAGACATTCCCGCTCAGTGGTCGAGTAATTCCTCTCTTGCTTTGTAAGAGACCTACTCAGGTAGGAAATCGCCTTCGGGGTAAGGTTGTGATAGGACTGCAACGATTCCGAATCCAGACGAGTCAGTCTGCACCACAAAGGGTTTCGAATAATCCGGACAACATAAAATTGGCGCCGCCACTAGACACTCCTTGATTCTTCGAAAGGATCTAGCACATTCATCTGTCCATGTGAATTTCGAGCTCTTCCTCAGTAAAGCTGTGATGGGAGCGACGATGGAAGAAAAATTTTGGACGAATCGGCGGTACCAAGAGAAGATGCCAACAATTCTCCGGACTTCCGTAACATTAGTCGGGGGCGGTATTTCCAACATGGCCCTTACTTTATCGGGGTCAACATGCAATCCATTACGATCCACCACGCAGTCAAGATATTTCATTTCAGGACGGCAAAATTGACATTTATCAATGTTAACTGTAATATTTGCCTCTCTGAGTCTGCGGAATACCTCATCCAACGTTATCAGATGATGTTCAATCGTTGCCAACGGGCTGGAGCGTTATGGAGCCCAAAATGCATTCGATGAAACTGGAACAAACCACGATTGGGGACAGTAAAAGCCGTATATTTTTTGATGATTCTGCCATTGGGACTTGCCAGTAAGCAGATTTCATATCTAAACTGGACAAATACCGAGCATTACGAAGTTTATCTAGAGTATCAGAAACATGGGGAAGAGGGTAGCTATCACGTATGGTCACAGAATTCAATTTACGATAGTCCACGCAGAATCTGAACTTGCCATCCTTCTTTTTTACCAAGAGAATGGGCGAAGACCAGGGGCTATTGGAAGGTTCCACAATTCCCAGCTTCAGCATCTCCTCAAGTTCTGCGTCAATTTGTTGCTGTACAATAGGATTGACCCTATAGTAGCGTTGTTTGATCGGAGGACTATCTGTTTTAATAACATGTTCAGTTCTATTAGTACAACCTAGTTCTGTACCTATAAGTGCTAGATTACGATCTAGGACTTTTCGGAATCGCATCTGGTCCGAAGGACGTAACATCGTTGAGCTAGCAATATGCTCAACAGTGTTGACGGTAACAGATTCATCAGAAAAATGCCATTCATCATGACGCAAATCAGGAATCAGTCCCATATGTTTCCAAAAGTCAATTCCAAGGATGAGAAGATGGGGCATCTCAGGAACAACAATAGCTTCCACAAGTTTCAAACGACCCCTCAATGAGATAGGCAAATCAACAACTCCTATACTCCGAACACGGGCGCCGCTGGCTACGGTACAGTATGTTGTCCTGGACCCATCCACTGGTAGTCCTAAGGCACGAACAACCTCAAATCCTCTACTACCTAGTATAGTCCGTGAAGCACCAGAGTCCAAAAGACCTAATAACGACTTCCCTAAGACATCCACTCGCAAATAAGGGCGTTCATCCTGGTTGGCGTGTTCTAAGACATAGTCCAGGATGACTTGTATTTTGTCGATCGAGGGTTCTCGACCAACACACCTACCTCGATCTCCTAGGTGCCTCGGCGACCGTTTCCCGTCGACGAACAGTCAGGACAAGATCGAATAGTAAATCCCTTCTTCTTACACCGATAACAATGTAAACCCGCCGACTTCATCAAACAACCAACAGCTCGATGTCCGGGTTTATTACACTTAAAACAAAGTTGATCACTTCGGGACACATCCGAGTCACCAACAGCATGTGAAAGAGATGAAGTTCCACAGCTATCAATCATACTATCGTCAACCTGTACATGAGCCAAATCATGTTCTAAAGCATTAGACTTCTTCGATGGTGCTGAGAAGTTTTCTACTGCTTCTTTTCTGACTTCCAATCGCTTTCCTAACTCTCGAAGGTGCCTGATCGAAGTTACGTCAACCAGAGCCAATTGAGTTTGATAAAACGGGGCAATGTTTCTCAGAAGTATTTTAAGTTTTTCTTCCTCAGAAATTGAGCAAGTCATCCTGTAGAAATAACCTGTCATGACTGCCAGATAAATACCAATAGACTCATCAGGACCTTGAGTTCGTTTTTTAATTTCTTCAAAAAGCTTTCCATCGTAATTGGAAGACAGATATTCTTCTCGGATAAGTGCAACAAATTCATCCCAAGTCGATACTTCCCTTCGATACGCAGTAAAGAATTGATACGCCCTACCTGTGAATAAATCGATACCGGAGTCAAGCAATACTTTTTTTGTTACATGTCGAGCTACTCGCAATTCTTCGACCCTGCTCAAAAAAGCACACAAGGACATACCTTTTTTGTCTCCCGAAAATTTACAATCCCATTTATTGGGAAGAATCGGCTTGACATTAACAGTGGGAGGTTGAGTAGGAGTGATGTCGGAAGATCTTCTATGAGGAGAGAGAGAGCCACCAAAATTACTATTTCCCAAAAGCATATGGAAAGGTGGGACGTCTTGTGTCTTCTGGTAATCTTCTGCTTTACGGTGTAAGTTATCCAATAATGCCAGTGCCTTCGCAAGCAACTTCGGTTTGTCCTGGGTGTCCTCTTCACTGATGTTGTCCAATCGGTTCAGGACATGGAACATCTTCGATTGGAGTCTTGCAAATGCATTACTACTCATTGAATCACTGAAGGTATCTATAAGTGGTTCCAGTTCTTCCAACTTCGCAGTAACTGCTGCAATATCTTCTTCAACTGTGAATGGATATTTAAAAATTCTGATTATGTGTAATACATCAGTGACATAAAAAATTCTTTTTTTCAGGTCATATAAGTGAAATTAGTGATGGTTTCTCAGAAAAACCTGTCGAATCAAAAATCTGTGAATGGCATCTTGTACTGCTTCAAAAGTGATGTTTTTTTCTTCTATCTTTTTGAATGGGCAGGGGACTCCCACATTGAAAATTTTTGGGGGATAGGCGGGCCAGCACTATTTCAGGGCTGAAAGTCGAGCCCCTCCCCCCCGTACACCCAGAATTTTTTTATAATTGAGAGCTCAGTGGTGGGTTTTGAGAGTTTCGTGCGTTAGTTTTTTTAAGGTTCTATGTTTCCTTATATAACTTTGTTGTTGACTAAAAAATTATCTGCGATAAAAAAATATATGACTAAACAAACAATTATTTGCTATAAAATAATATTTGTTCTGTAAAAGGAGGGTTCTTTCAAGTAGGCCTAATAAAAACACGGGGGGATTAAAAACCAAATCTTTTCAATTTACTACAAAATGTACTTTATTGAATTTTATAGACAATTCTACAATACATGTGTTTACAACAAGGAAGTGTGTAAAGCCTAAAAAAATTACTTTTCAGTGAGAGGATTGCATTTGTTTGCCACTTGATATTTCAGTCCATTTAGAGTCAAACTTTGTAGTTCCGATCATTAGGATTGATTTCAAGTGTTCATCTGACGAGCACGATCTGTATTTACATTTAACAAACTTCATTTTTGAAAAAGTCTGCTCACACTTGTAGGTAGATCCAAATAGAGAAAACCTAGTAGGAGCATGGTTTGTTATGTTCTTATAAACTCTTTCTGGGATAGAACTGTAAAATGGAAATAGGTCATCTTCTTTCTGGCACTCTTGGAAATGGGTCTTGAGAGACTCATTAGATGTTAGCTCGATGACTTCGAATTGAACTTCTGCAGGCACTTTGTCTATGTCACACTCAAAAGGGTTTTGAAACAACTGAATGTCTTATGACGCACGGCCAAAATCTTCAAAACGTTCATCAAACTCTTGTCGTAGCTCACGCATGATTCCTAAGCAGTAATCTTCAGGAAAGGGAGCAGTTGCTGATGAACTTAAATTCTGACAAGATGCAAAGTTCATGAATCCCAAATTCTTCTCAAAAAGTATGAGTTTAGTTCTGAAAGCTTTCACATGTGCCAGTATAAGTCAAAATCATAAGAGTTTTCACATTGAAGTTTCAAGTTCAGAAAGTTAATATGTGCCGTAATGTCAACAAGAAAAGTCAATTTCTACACGAAGACACTGTCAGAAAGTTCAGGTACAGGACGACGCTGTTCAGTTATGAAAATGTCAACCACTTCACGAAGTTCCAAAAACCACCGTAATACTTCACCTCTCATTTATCGAACTTCACAATGGTAGGGGATATCTGGGTAAGCGCAGTCAATTTCAGCAAGAAACACTTTGAACTAGCGGTGTTTAAGGGCACTTGATCTAATGAAGTTGACTGTTTGCACAACTACATTCATCACTTTAGCTACATCTATGTGTTTGCCATACCACGCTTGTTGATGGATAATGCAGTGAACGCCACCAGCTGTCTTTACAGAATTGCAATCTTGTGCCAGACATATTTTTCCCACCATCCTCTCATGCGTTTAAAGTCGAGCTCAAAATTAGAAATGGTTTCACCTATTTTCGCGAAAATTTTGTCTTCAGTTACATCAAATCAGTTAATTCATTCAAAGGACCCATTAAGGTATAGAAATGTCAGGATATAATGTCTTAGTACATGTATATAAATATAGTAAAGACTATGTACGTAACTTATAATACAATGGATGACCGAATCTGATGGTCAATAAGTGAATTGTTATACTTCCCTCTGTTTGAATTTTAATCAGTTATGACTTTTCAATGGACAAAATTGAATTATTCAGAATTTCCCATAGATTATTTTTATTGTTATTGTTGATTAGGCACATATGAGTATGAAATGATTTTTTACTATTGTTGTTGATTTATTAACACTGAAGTTGATTGTGTTTTTATGATAACAATTAATTACAATTGTAGTCGAGCTTTTCTAAATTTTCATGAGACAACAACGTGTGGCGCTCTCGTTTCGAATAAGTACAAATCAAGTTTGAACTGCAGACTATTGTCAAATTTGAATATTTTGACGTTAGAACATTAGAAAATCAACCTCACTGTTTTGTTATTTAAGAAACACCTATCAATTATCAAAAAAAAAAAAATTCACATGCATTTTCTCCATTCGGATAACAAGTCTTGAAAACCATTTCGACTCTGTTGAATTCGATGGAGCCTATTGCCAGACTAAAATTTGAACCAGAAGTTCTTTCATAGCTAACAATAAGCAATAGTTGGAGACTATTGTAATACATTGATTGCTTCGTAACATGTGTGTTCAAAATAGTTATCTTGTTACTCTTCAAATTATAAATTTTCATATAACTATTGAAGAAAAACGGCAGCAAACTTTGTGGTTTTTCCAAATTCATGATTTAGAGAAAGATATATCAGGGAAAAAGTGATTCCGAATAAAAATTAGTCTGGGGTAAGTGAGATAAAGAAACAAAAACGCTGATCACCCTATACCCGTCAACGTAGTAACCACTCCACCAACATCAACACTCACTCCACTCCTATTTGGAGTGGAGTGAGTGTTGATGGAGTGGAGTGATGGCTTGGATAATGCCGCCAACATATCACTGACAGAGGAGTATAATTTACAATTTACAAACTGTATCTTAGTTTCATCTTCAGGGTCTGTGGATTTTAGCGAGTTTGAGACCAACCAATCAACTTTTCGAAATCAATGAAAATCTAGATCAGTGGAAGTAGTTGAATATCAAAAAATATCATGCATAATTTCTCTGAGAATGCTGTAGAGTTCTATTAGTTTTTCTAAAAAATCAAGTTCAATCATTAGAGGGTGAAAACAGAATGGACTAATGAAAAGGATGATTTGTATGAAAAAATTTTACAGATTCATTTGATGTTTTCTAATAAGTGTATATTCTGTTAATGATTCTTTTATTCATTTCTTATCATCTATTAATAAACTCACATGTTAGAAAAACAAGTGCTGATCTGAAAGATAATTCTGCAAAAATTGGATACTTCGTCGGTCCGATTATATGAAGAACATTAGGCCACATGATTCCAACAGCTAAATGTTTACCCAGCAGAAAATAAAATTTTGGAGACCTGTCGAAATCTTATTCACAAGTAATAGGCGAAATTGTATGACATCAAAGAGACCTTCAGCAACTTCAACTCTGGAACTCCAACTGAGCTTCGAACTGAAAAATAATGTGTTATACGCATTGGATATTCAACATGATATTTTAATTTTTTGACATTGGATATTACCCAAAATATACCTATATATCACGCCTTAAACATACTTTCGTTCATTGTAAACTTTTATCAATGCAAACTAATCATTGATATATAATTTCAACACCGTCGATTATGGTCTGATTATAAACCAAAAAGTTGGGTTCTGAAACAGTTTTGGTTGATCACCAGCCTCTGGAGGATGATCAAACGTTTCTTTTATCTTCAGTGTCGATAACAGTTTTTCTCTATATCTAACAAATTCGGCATAGACACACCAAGCTATCAAAATCCAGTTCATTTGTTTGATCTTAGTAAACATCTTTTGATTGATATCATTTGATGTCAAATTGTGTACATAGAAATAAAAAAAATATAAACACTTCCTTATATAGGGTATTTTATCAAACGCTTCTTATCTATAGATTTCAATAAAACAAAAGTGGATGTGTTATATCATCGAAATTTTTTATTCGTTTCAAAGACCTATTGATGTCATCATGAGTCGAATATATTATCAAATATTCAGCACGGTTTCTCTGGGTGGAGCGCATCCAAAATGTCCGATTTTCCACGACTCTTGTGCATAAATCAGGCTGAATATGACCGATTGCCTGGGTTATGTTGGCTTTGAGGACCGTTGCTTGATAAAACCCCATAAATAAAGTCTAATGGGTTCAAATTGCACGATCTCGGTGGCCAATTCACATCACCTCAACGTGAGATGACCATACCCTCAAATCGCTCGTGCAGAATATCAAATATGGCATGAGCCGTGTGGCACGTAGCGCCGTCCTGTTTGAGCCACAATTCGTTGGTATCCAGATCATCCATTTCAGCCCAAAAGAAGTTGGTAAACATCGACCTATAGTGCTTGACATCGACAGTGACACCCTGGTCAACGTTGCTCTCAAAGAAATATGGATCGATGACGCCGTCAGTGACATTTTCGTGATTGACTGGACGCTCTTGGATCTCATGTGGATTGGTATCATCCCAAATTCGACAATTTTGTTTGTTCACGTACTCATTCATCCAGAAATGTGCCTCATTGCTGAAGAATATTTGTCGATGAAAATTAGGGTGAGTTGACAACTGGTTCAGAGCCCATTCAGCGAACACAGGTCGTTTCTACGGTCGCAGGCCCAAGTCACTACGCAAAATGCGCCAATTTTTGGTCTGCAGATTGCCAGATTCTTTAGAGCGACGCGAAATCGACTGCCATGAGAATTGTATAATTCTCATTATGAACATAATGTCTCTGAAGCCTCGATATTTTTGGGAGGGCGCGCCAGCATTATCAACCAATAACCACGGTGGTGTAAGTGAACATAGAGCACGTGATTCAGACGCAGTGAGCCAAGAATGATAATCTTCTGTATTTGTATGATTGAGGACTCTAATACGCAGAACAACCATTCTAACAGAGTGGTCTGGATAGAGTTTGTGATAATCGAAGAGAAAAACTCGAAATTTTATTAGTTTTTCCTCCTCTTTCCACACGATACTCGCCAGGAGTTGAAAACTTCATGACAAATATCGTCTTGCTTTGATCGTCAAGAAAAACTACATTATGCTTATTAGCTTGTATGAGCCTGAGGGTGGAAATGAATAGTTTTGATGAATTCGGAACTTCACATCCCCACAGTTGATTCAATGTACCCCAGAGGGCCGGGCAATACCAGAGACTCGTCAGTATCGTTAAAGTGCCCTAGTTGGTAATGAATCACTCTTAGAGCTGCGTTATGTGGATGGATATAGGCTGAGACATTCGTTGTGGATTTTACATGGATCTTTGTCAACCTAAATGGCGAACATCCTATATCTCGTATAAAAACACTTGCCTTATTGCCTCTTCGGCACCAAACTGGTAACATCACAAGATGAAGGACTCAATTAATTCATGAAGTTACAACTTTGTCACGAATGAGTCAAATCTACTCATGTAATTGATGACAGTACCTGAACCTGGAAGACTCATTTACACCCTTAATGTAATGTAATGTTTCTGGATTCCCACAAATGATACAACTTTATCATTCAGCAAAGGATATATTTGTTTAAAAATAACTAAACCCGTATCATCTAATCGTAATCACAAAACTGTCGGTGTTCGATGGTGATATCTCAACAACGACCACCAGCCCTTTCGGTACGCGCAGGTGCCCAGGAATCTGGCAGATCGAGTTGCGCTATGACATATCGATTACTAGCGATTGTTCATAAACAGGATGATATTTCGATACATTACACCACCTCACACCCAAAACCCTCTGACCCCTTTATGTGGATGGATATAGGCTGAGACATTCGTTGTGGATTTTACATGGATCTTTGTCATCCTTAATGGCGAACATCCGATATTTCGTATAAAAACACTTGCCTCATTTCCTCTTCAGCACCAAACTGTTAACATCACAAAAGATGAAGGACTCAATTAATTCATGAAGTTACGACTTTGTCACGAATGAGTCAAATCTACTCATGTAATTGATGACAGTACCTGAACCTGGAAGACTCATTTACACCCTTAATACTACGACATATCAAAATCTGAGTAATTTCAAATAATTTTTTTTCAAAAAACTGACCACTTGGTAACATCAATAAACTGACCTCTCATTTTATTTTGCCTGAGATCCCGATTAATGATATGAGAGCAAACGGTCTGTAACTATCCAGTTTCCTGAAGACTCAATTCATATAAATCTAGTGAAAATACTTTTCTCATACCAGTTATCTCATGATGATGCCAATTTGGTCAGTTCAACACGAGACAAAATACTGTGTTTCGCTTTTGGTGTCGAGAAAGTGTTTCCATGAGATCAGTTTCAACGATGGGGACACATTTTCTGAAAGTTACTTGGTGAAACAAGTGCTTTGAATATTTTTGACACTTTCATCATAACTGAGAGGATTAGGCTGAATGTGAACAAATATAAACTTTGCTCATGGCACTGGACTCTGTGGGAAGTAATTAAAAACACCAAATAATGTTATATTTATTGAAAATTATCTCCTTTCATTCTATTTGGCTTACATAATTAAACTACAAAGTATCAACATTATCACAGAATTAGAGATGACTATAATAGTCTCGGTTTCAAAATAACTAAAGACTAAACAATATTTCTGATATGAGTTTGTACAGTATATTCGTATTCTGCTTCATTCCGCTGAACTTAACTGATCAGAAATGTTCAATATTTCAACAACCGATAAAAAGCAGAAATTATAAATACTTCTTATTGACCACCTGATCCTTTCAGATTTTGCGTGAACTCTATAGAGTAAAATGATATATTCTGATTCAACCCACTACCCAGTTCAAGTCAGGACAAAATATATCGAATGGAAGTGTTTTCCTGATTGAAGTTGATCCTTACGTGTCTTTGGAGTGGATATATTATGACTTTTTGCTAAAGGCTCCCACTATTGATTTTATACTTTGAATTCCACCGGTGATCATTCCCAGACAACCAAGCAGAAGAATGAAAACGTTCTTCAATATAATCCATACAGAAAGGTTCTTTTCTGTGTGTTTATTGATGAGGTCTAATACTGGTGGTAACAACAATGCTAGCGTTGTACTGCTCAGAGAACCCACTAAAGAAATGAAGTATTCAAGAAATGGAATGGCTTCAGCGAGAACAACTGAAAAATAAAAAAAAATTATACTTTTTCTATTCAATTTTCACACTGTACATTCAAAAAACTTGGAAATAAAAAAAGGCAACTTTATTGGCAGATGAAAAGCTAAATTGATTTTTTACCCATTGACAGTTTTAGTAGCGACTTGAATTATTCCATCTCAAAAACCTCACTACCTCCTTATTTTTACACTGAAGGTGATAGCATCCAGTATGAATACTTTTATTCAAACCGTCTAGTTCTAGAATAGAGAACCAAAAAAAATGTAAAATGGGATGGAATTGGTATTTTGTCTAACAGTTGTAGTCTCACATGAACGATAACTTTCAAAATTCCAAATTGCAAGCTGTGGAATATCGACATCTCATAATTTAACGAAATCATTATCAAGTAAATATAAACAGAAACTATAAATAGAAATATGATACAGAAATTAACAGGATCCGAAAAGCACCTCAAGATACTGGGGCAATGGCATACGAATTCATTGTTAGAGCATGAAATTTGACCAGTGTAATTGAATCCTGATCGATGAAAACATTTCAGTTTCAATTCGGTAGACTACAGTGATTACAATTATTCTTGGAAATCTATGTAGGACTATTTCAGACTATTTTATCAACAGATACATTACATAAAAGATTCACATAAGATAGTAACAGTTTATATCAAAGGTATAACCGAAATAGGATGGGATAACCGAAATAGGATTCCAAAAAATGTATCCCTATTTAATTAGCTGTAGATCAGTGTAACTGACGAATCAAACAATACAGTTGTAGATATTGTGAACGAAAAGTCTTTAACAACTCACTACACGTAACCAAAGACAACCATTGGGTATCAAAAGCTTATTTCATTCCTCGATAACTAATTTGTAATAGATTCGATGACCTCATAAGCTGATATTTCTAACTTGTTTCTCTTACTGTATTTTAAGCGGAAATTTACGATATTGAATTGTGTGCGGAGAGATTGGAAAAATCCAACCTCATACAAAAGTCATTAAACATATTCTCAGACAGTCAAGCGGCGTTGGAAGCTCTTGGCTCCTACCGATCAATATCTAAATTGGTAGCAAATTGCCAAAAACGACTCTCGCCGATAGGAAGTCAACAATTTGTCTCTTGTTTGAATTCCTGGTCATACTGGCCTACAAGGAATGAGGCTGCTGACTCATTGCCTTCCCTTGCAAAGGAGGGTGCGACAAGCAGCTTCATCAGATCAGAACCTGTCATTGGCTTCGCCTTAGGCTTTGCCAAACAAAGATTGAACACCTGGATGGCAAAAAGATTTATGGATTTCTGGCAGAATCATCCAGGATTGGGTCACTCCAAGGCATTCATTCAACCTTCGAAGCTTGATACCAAACAGTCGTTGAAGGTATGAACTACGATATCTAACAGGCCATTTTAAAGGTCACTGTCATTTGAATAATCATATATAGAGACTTGGGCTATCGGAAGACATTGTGTGTCACCTCTGTTCGGAGAAAGATGAAACAGCAGAGCACATACTTTGTGCCTGCCCCGCTAGGGACTGCATCAGATTTTTAGAGTTCGGCAGAGACGTACTCTTACCATCTGACCTGAAAGACCACTCACCATACAAACTAATCGGCTTCGTTAAGAAGTCGGGTTAATTTGGTGTGAATAGTGTGTGAATAGATGTGAGCTACAATAAACCTTTGCGGATTGCGGTGAAGGGTCGAATAGACCTACTCACTTTGGACATAACCTAACCTACTCCGAGAAAGGTATCAACAAATATTCAGACACACTGATACAGATTTAGTCATTGGAACTGTCATAGTATGTTTGCAATCTCTACTTCAGCGAAAGATGCATTGACAATAACTGAACCAGGCGTACAGCAGAATAATCCTCTATGAGATATTGCACCACCCTGAATCGCCCATCAAAACTTATATTTTTCTAGACAACGGTAGAAACATGTATTTGGAGTGTTTGTATAACAGTACAAGTATTTCTGGATGAAGTCTATGAAGTAATTTTTTGCCTCAGAAACTTTTCATCCAATGTGAATACAAAATATGAATTTTATTTTCAGAATGATGATTTCTGAATCACAGATATCATTCTACTAGATTAGAGATTTCAAATTATTTTCTATTATTTTTGGATATCATAGTAGTAGAGGAAGACTGCTTTTTTGGGGAAGATCAAGTCATATTGAGAAATCTTCATGGAAGATTCGTTGACCTTTTTGTCCGTAATCTTTACATTAGGTTAAGTGAAAGAATATTAGGTTAAGTGGAAGAACAGTTTAGCAGTTATTTGCATAACTGCCAAAATTGAACTCCGCCTGTTACAATAACTTTACCAATTTTTTATCTGATATACATATGAAATTTATACTCACAAGTTAAACAAACAAGTAATGTTCTGAAAATCAACTCAGCCAAAACTGGATATTTCGTCGGACCAACTCTTTCTAGTACAGTGGACCACATTATTCCAACAGCAATGAATAGTTGTAGAGCATATGTAAGTACGAGTCCAAGAGAAATCACCATTTTTACACATTGATATAAGCTGTGAAAATATGTTTGCTTTAAAATGAATAACTTTGTAAATACTTCAATTCAAAACCTTCACATAACACAACAGACTTACCTTTGCGAACAGTTTTGATAATTTTCCCAGAAACCTAAGCTGCACCTTACTTCCGAAATGCAAGACAATCCACTAGTACAAACAAAACAACTAGAGAAAAAGCCAAGAAAACCTCAACAACGACGAAATAATAGCACAAATAACCAGTTTTTTCTCGAAGCGCCTCTTTTCACCAATTTTTTTGTGCGTAACATGTCAAAGCGAAGGTTTACTTTTTGTAATATATCCCAAACCCATTCACTCACTAGGTTACCAACATATGAAGCTCCTGAGAATAATATGTGCAACCCATGGCTTGAATCTATATATAAAATAGTGCAAATATTTCCAAAGCCCAAATAGAAAGTTAAAATTATACTCACACTATATCTTGTGGAAGGTTCAAGGTCACACTTCCTTTTATATCGTCTCCAAATTTCAGATAGGACAGAAAACCGACTACTATGTATAGAGTTGTGACGACGGTCATACCGACATTCAGAACCCCAAATGGTTTTTTGAAATTTTCTGGTTCTTTCATTTCGTTTTGTAGTGGCAAAACCTGAAATTCAAAAACAATAGAGATATGTTAATCGAATGACAGTGTGAGTTTCCGATATAATTTTGCTATTTTTTTCAAGGAAATAACACAGGCACTACAGGAAAACCTTTAAGGCTCTCTAAGAGCGGTGGCTGTTCGAAAGTAGTGATTCACATTGTAATTGAATCGCTGGGGATTAAATTCATTCGGAAAAACGTTCTCAGGAAGTTTATTCCACGTAAACGAAGTTCTCAAAATGAAAGAGTTCAGTGAAGTTCGAGGTTTACTGAGATGAACCTCAAAAAGATGAGCAGCTCTTGGTGGAATCAAATGTGTCACTTGAACACTTCCCGTGAAAGAATATATAGAAGAGAGACAAATCTCCAACCTTACTTCGATGTTTCAAACTATCAAGGTCGCAAGTGATGTTCGCGTCTTCAATCAGGCGGATGGCTCTTTTCTGGATGGAATCCAGCAGCTTCAGGGTATGCTTAGGGGCGGAGCTCCATACATGAGAACAATACTCCAAAAAAGGTTATGAAGCATCAAAAGTTGCTGAGGTGTGTACAGTTTTCTGGTTCGTAACAGTGTTCCAATCTTTTGAGAAGCAGCCTTTGCAATTTCAGCGACATGATTGTGCAAGACATATTGGTGTACAATTAAATACCCAATAAACCTATCGAAGCAAATAGTGGAATTGTCTGACCTGACATTATTATATCCGGTTCGGAGACATTTATCTTTTTGGAGAGAACCGATGCTTGGGTTCTTGTGGTGTTGAATTGAACGTAATTATTTTCACCCCTATTCGAAATTACTTCTAGACTCTCATTAAGATATGCAACTTCTTGCTGCCGGTGAAGATGTCAATCCGTCGCCGATACGGGATTCAAATGGAATGACGAAACAAGTGTGTTGTCGTCAGCAAAGCAATTTATTGGAATTTTGGTTTTTTCCAATAAGTCGGTGATATGCAAAAGAGGGTTGGAGACAATATACATCCTTGGGAAACACCAGCGTTGATGGTAAAAGTATTCGAGAGATATCCGTCGACAGCTACTTGCAGAAAACGTTCCTTCAGGAAGCTGGAGAGCCAGAGTGGAAGCTCTAACAGTACCCAAAAATTACCCGTGAATGAAATCAATTCATTCAATGGTTTGACTGGAAGTTGGAATAATGAGTATTTCTTCTGCTAGTTTATTAAATTTTTTTTATTCTACTTCACCAGTATACGAGGGTTTTCTGAAAAGTTTCCGACCTCAACATGAAAATAGCAGCAATAGTGAATAAAAACTAGTGAATTTCGTTGTTCATCTGCTGACAGGTACTTACCAAAATTTCAGCCATTTTGGACGCGCAGTTGTCTCGAGCTGTCTTTGAAATTTTGGACAACTGAATTCAAACGTGACCGTAAGAGCTTGGGAGACGATGAACGTTCGGAACATCTAAAAACTGCAACTACAAAAACATCGCCAAAGTTCACCAAATGGTGCTGGAAGACCGCTGAATTGAAGTGAGAGAGATAGTGGAATATGTACCTTAGATACATAAAAATCAAGTAGATGCTTTAGGTAATTATGATCGAGTTACTTGACTGGGCAGTTTCAATTGTGATTACATGGGGTATATAAATATTTGAGTTTTAGTATATTATTCACTACGAAAAAGCTAGTGTGTTAGCGAAACGTGATATTCTTCAAAAATGAAGTTTGTAGAGATATAATCGTAAGGTGTAGTTTATGAGATAGTAGAGGTTATGAATATGCCAAAAGAACATGTTTGTCTTGTACTAAATCAACATTTAGGCATGAGAAAGCTGTTCCCGCGTTGGGTGCCGCGTTTGCTCACATTAGATCGAAAACGTGTTTGAATGAATATTTTCAACGCTCTGTTGGCGCAGGTTAGGCGCAAAAAATCCGATTTTTGGCGCACCGATTATCCACTATAGATAAACGTGGACTGCAGAGGAGGAACCACCTTCAATAAAAGCAAAAACTGTTTCGGCTAGGAAAGTAATGGCGACTGTTTTTTGGGGAAATTAATTGTCCCCAGAAAGGAATATATATTATAGGGGCATAGTATGATGCTTACTTGATAAGTTGAAGGTAGAACTTGCTGAAAAACGGTCACATTTGCAAAAATAGCAAATCCAATTCCACCGGGGAACCACCTCCAATAAAATCAAACACTGTTTTTGCGACTGGGAAAGTAATCGCGACTATTTTTTGGGATATTCGTTGTCCTCAAAAAGGAAAATATATTATAGGGGCATACTAAGCACCATTATTTGATAAGCTGAAGGTGAAACTTGCTGAAAAACGGGCACATTTGCGGAAATAGCAAATCCTATTTCACCGGGGAACCACCTTCAATAAAAGCAAACACTGTTTTTGCGACTGGGAAAGTAATCGCGGCTATTTTTTGGGATATTCGTTATCCTCAAAAAGGAAAATATATTATAGGGGCACACTGAGCATCATTAATTGATAAGCTGAAGGTAGAACTTGCTGAAAAACGGTCACATTTGCGGAAATACCAAATCCTATTTCACCGGGGAACCACCTCCAATGAAAGCAAACACTGTTTTTGCGGCTTGGAAAGTAATCGCGAATATTTTTTTAGATAGTCATTGTTCTCAAAAATTAAAATTTATTATAGGGGAATATTAGGCATCATTACTTGATAAGCTGACGGTAGAAATTGCTGAAAAACTGTCACATTTGCGGAAATAGCAAATCCTATTCCACCGAGGAACCACCTCCAATAAAAGCAGCTGTGAATTTATCGCGAATATTTTTGGGGTAATCATTGTCCTCAAAAAGGAAAATATATTATAGGGGCATATTACGCATCATTACTTGATAAGCTGAAGCTAGAAATTGCTGAAAAATGGTCGCAATTGCGGAAATGGCAAATTCTATTTCACCAGGCCAACACACCGTCTCACACCTCAGCGGTTGCCATGGCGAAAATCCACGAATTACGGTTTGAACTGCTTGATCATCCGCCTTACTCGCCAGATTTAGCTTCAAGTAACTTTTTTGTTTCCTAATCTAAAAATTTCGCCTATAGGACACATATTTTCGCCAGATGAAGAAGCAATCACCTTCGTGAACAATCATTATGCAGAGAAAAATGCAAAATACTATTTGGATAGGTTACAGAGATGGGAGCATGGGAGGAGTGTGTAGAATTGAAAGAAGACTGTGTTGAAAAATAAAAAAAACTGAAAAAATGTCGGAAACTTTTCAGTATTTAGGAGAGAATAATAATAAAATATACTTTGGGTCCACTAAACTATGACTAATGAATTATTAGCTTTTATTTTCAGTTCTGTTGGAGTCACTGTTGAGCAAAAATAATCTTAAATATTTGTCCTGAATGTATTGCTTGTTGTTTATGAAACGTGGAGCATATATTTTTAATGTCAGTTATCATAAGTAGTCTTCCATTTTTATATATGCGATTGATTATCGTGAATAATTATAATACTGATACGTGAAAAAATTAATTTCAGATGAGTACTTACTAAGCCGATTCCTTCGAATGCAAAAATTGCTGTCCCGAAGAATAATGGTATTGTATCAAACCCGGCAACATACGTCCTCTCTGAAATACTGGGCAGGTCCTGAGATGCATAATATAATACAATAATAATACCACTTATCATCAGAACATTTGCTAAAGTGGAGAAAGGAGCCAAGTACTTGAGATTTCTCACCAGACAGGGTAATAGGATGGGTACTAAAATTATAATCATATGTATATGAATATCTAATTCGAATCCATGGTAATCTGCCACCTGAAAAATGTAAAAAATTATTTTGTTATTATTAACCATCACAGCTTTGAAAAATGAGGGCATCGAATAGGTAAGAAAAGCTTTTGGAGTCCATACTCAAAAAATCATGTTCTATATCATCATCTGTTGCTCACTTCTTATTGTTGTTGACATATTAATTACTCAATTCGTATTATGAATAAAGTCTCCGGCAGTGCCTGTCTGTTTGGACGCATTAAACTCAAAAACTGTCATTGAATTCTGCTACCAATTCGAGAATTATATTCCTTGTCTATCAGTATAACTTTCGATTGAATCAATTTTTTAATACAACAATTAATAAGAATTTTCGCAGTTTCAAAGTTACACATCTTTCAAATGAATCGATTTTAAATTGAAGCAGCAACAGATGTGGAATTGAAAGCCCTTTTCTCGTTAAGAACATATAAGGGTGACACTTCACTTATAGAGTTGATTCCTAACTAACATTCAAAATATGAATTTATTATGATTTTACAATAATAGAAATTTCTAGAATAGCAAAACTTCAAAGTATTCTGCAGAAACATTGGTTATAGTTACACTATAGATGAGTAATGATAATAATAAGCGGTGAATCCCTACTCACGAATCGTAAGGTATTGATTCTTTCACATGAATTTGAAATGCAGAGAAATATTTTTTTCTAGTTCAATACTTTCTGGCCGACACGTGTACTATATATGAGGATTTTTTCTCTTTTATAGAATTCACACGTTCCGTTGGTATTTTGCAATTTGTGAGATATTTGAGTAGTAAATTAAGATCTTGTCACTGGTAAAATGTCCTGAATTCACGGGCACAAAAGTCATAATGATTGTATTTCAGGCTCATTATTTCGCTATTGCTTTATAATCGGTTATTACGACAACTGACGAACACTTTTCTCAAAAGTATTCACATTACTTTTATTGGATATATGATCTATAGAACTTTTATATAAACCCTGTATTCGCATGAAGCTATGTATTATCGATATTAAACCAAATTTGCTCAAGTGGTCAAAGATTATTAAATCACAGTCAATATAGGGTTGCCTATAAAAAACAGACTATTTAGATTTTTATCAGTTTTCGTATTTACTTCTAGTACCTACCCTTCACCTGAAAACATATACGATTCGTTATGATATATGTGAATATCATACCTACCCATAAAATAATGTCAATCAAAGATCGTTCACAAAAAATTTTACTATTCATTTAATAGCCCAGAAACGTAATAACATTCAGCGAGTAAATGAAAAAGGTCACGTTGATAATTATGAAGTATATACCTGCTGGTTCGTCAAGGCTATATTGAATTTTTTTTTGTTCTTGCATATAAATCAGTATAACATTACTGTATAACTGGTAACATTAAAACTAAATGGGATACAAACAAACAACACCATATCCAATTGTTACTAGTTTCTAAATATTTATATAACTGAGTATTAGGTAATAAAACTCTTGATTTATCATTGATTTGGGAAGTGAAACATTTCTTGTGACGATATGAATATATTACAGTGCGGTCAAAGTTTCGCCCACTATTAATTTTTTATGAACGCCTCAGAAACACATTCTATGCCTTAAATCGAAGTCATTAAAAGCTGCTGTTGCTAATTTCAAAACACGATTTCAAAAGCCACCTAGTATCGCATTATACTCGTATGAACGGATGGGATGGATAAAATATCTGATTTAAAAAGATTGGTAATGTCAAAAACAAACATTTAATATATTATTGAGCTAGATGAGCACGAAGAATACTGAAAGCTAGTTTTCGATTTATAGAAAAAACTGCGGCTATTATTCTATCAATTTATTGGTTCATTTTCATTCCAGGTCGTGAACATTCTTCTTCTTATTATATGCGAGCTCTCGCATATAATAAGTAGAAGTAATTAAAGCTTCAAAATATTTTGGTGAACATATGTTAACGAATTCGAAAATTTTTACTCACCTGTTTGATGTTCTCTGATATGAAAACGAAGTATACACAACAAAATCCCAGTTGCGTTATACAGATAAATACATTAACTATTTTCCTCATAAGAACTGAAATATGTCTTGTTCTGGCTGGCCCTTTTTCGAAACAGAGTTCAACAGTCTCTGCGAAGTCCGGAGATACTTTCACTTGATGTTTTTCTGTCAATGTCTTGGCTGTTTGTAGCTGAAATAAAAAATATAACAATGAATATCTCATATACTAATACATAATTTCAGAAAACTATTCATTTAATTTTTTTAATGCATATATGCTTCTTCAGATATCTAATACAGTATTTATTAAGCCTGAAGTAACTATTTTATCGTGAAACGTTTCGCGAAATTTCTTGTAAAAAAGGCACTGTGTTGTTAAATTCGTTTCTCATAGATAATCATCAAGTATTGGTCTATTTTAACACACTAATAATGTTTCAATATTGCAAAATCTGAATTGAAATCAGGATATTTCTCATCACTTTTTGGTTTTTGTTTTTGATTTTTACATCCTCATTTCGTTTAAATATATATAGAAAATAACTTTTTTCGAGATCAATTGCCCTAACATCAAACTGATATTTTTGCACTCGACGCGCGTTTCGCCAACAAAGTTAGCATCCTCAGGAGAAGAAAATTGATACCTAGTCTAGTCTGGTTAATCCTGTTATACTGAAATTTGTTACCTGAGGTTGTATAGGTACCTGAAGTCCAATATGGAATTTCTCGGTAATTAACTACCTGCAAGTTCTTAGTAATTATTCTCTTCCTAACAGAAGATTAAAAAGCGGGCTAAACGGGATGGGTCCCTTATCGCCATTCTTGCTGTTCTTACATTTTGCTATTTCTAGACCCTCACATGCATCAAGTAGCCTGGTGTCATGCACATGCTTAATCAGTATCAGATTGTTTTCACCAATTCTGTGGTCCTCGTCTAGAGTATGTTGGGCGACACTGGATTTTTCTATCCTTCCGTATTTCATGTGTGCACAATGCTCCTTGCGGCGGGTTTTAATCGCTCGTCGGCTCTGGCCGATGTATTTGCTGTTGCAATCTTGACAACTGATTTCGTAAATCTCCGACTTTTTTGTGTTTTCTAGTATATCTTTTAGATTACCAAGAAGCTGTTGCAAATTATAAGAAGTTTTATAAGCAACTTTCATATTTACTTTATCGAATATCTGTTGAAGCTCTATCGTGTAATGGGGTTCATATGGGATTACTATAAACTTGTTATTACTCTCCTCTTTTTGAAAAGTCAAAGATTTACGAAGTGCTTCCATAAACTTGCATTTTCTAATCATCTTGTCAACTGTATCTGGGTTAAAACCGTTTGCTTCAGCTACATACCGAATCACTTTCTTTTCATTGTCGTACTTATCTTTCTTTAAAGGAAAAGTTATTAACCTGTGTACCATAAATTGCAGTGCCGCCATTTTGTGTTGTGGACAATGATTCGAGTCATTGGGAATGTATCTGAAAGTGCCCGTGTCTTTCCTGTAAATGACAAATTCTATTTCGTTCTGTTCGTTCCTTACGACCAATACATTTAAAAACGGCAACTTTCGTTTTTTTTTTTTACTTCATATGTGAATTTTATACTCTTACACCTGTTGTTTAATGCTGGAAGGACATTCTCAATTCTGGTTATCTGGTTTAGTTTCATTTCCTTACTAAGTGTTAGGGCGTGAAAACTGAACAGGAATATGTGATTCGAATTATTTTACTCTGTGCTACTTCTAGAGTTAGATCCGATTCCGATCTCCCTTCAAGAGCTGATACTAATGGTCGACATGATACCAAAAAGATGCTCTTTCTTTATTTTCTGATAAGAAAACTAGTTGCTGAAACATGTTCATAAATATTTTGATGTGATTCTTGTATTCCTTCTGGCAAGTCCATTGTGCATGACCCCTTCAATAAAAATCCCACACTTGTTGACGTTGTTTTATCGTAATGCGCTTCGATTATATCCGAGCTTCATTTCTGGTTTTGATTTTTTTGAAATTGATCACTTACTTATCTTCAACTGAAACACTTTTGGGTCTAGTTTCATCGTCCTGCCTTTCGCAAGCCTCTTCTTGAACGCTGGCTTACTTTTTTTTGTTTTTTTGGAAAATAGATTCCATGATTCTTCTTTCGATAACAATGTCTTCATTTCATACTTCCTTCACAACAGATGATTGTTATTGTTCATTTTTGTTTTTGAATGTGTTTCCTGACATTACCCTCTACAGATCTTTCAAATAACCTCATCTGCTGTGTCAGGGTCCGCAATCTGCAGATTTTACTTTCCATTTGTTCATTTATTTATTTATTTAGCAGCTCGAAGACACATAAAGACAAGTACTAAAATAGTGTCCACTAATTTGAGATACAGTGAATTTATAATGTTTATGGAGATTATTACAAATATACATAGAGTGATACTGAGTTACATTAAATGATATTATTGGAATATAACATACATGTACATACAAAAATTAAATGAAAACGACGAGTTTCAAACATAAATTATAATTATGTCTCAGAAAACTTAATTATTTTTCATGCGGGACTTGTGAATATTTTATTATCTGTTTTACAAAAATTATATGACTTGATTTTTCATAGAGATCGAAAAAAAACTAATTTATTATCTTCAACATTATCACCTCTCACAAGTTCCGCAGGAATTTGCTGTTTTTTCAATATCATACCCAGAAAAGCAATCTTGATTATTTCCGGGTGAGTCAAACATATGTTTGAATATGTAAAATATGTTTTTCCGTTAACCAGCTGTCGCACCCCTATGAACGACAAGCCTCAGAAGTCGAAACTTGCGCGAGCTAAGGACTAAAGAGGTATTACCTTTCAAAGTGGGATTCCTAACACGGGTTGGACGATAGCAAGTTAAAATCGCCTGCGGCATGAACCACCGACTAACACGGCGGTCGATTGAGTCAGTGAACAAATCACCCACGTCAAACTAATCGGCTACCAAATTATTTGAATTTATGTGGTTGTGCCATTATACTACTACTAACAATCCAACAATTACCCATCACGAAAATGAAAATTACAAGTTGATATTTAATATCGAAATAATAATCAGTGTATGGAATTGAAATATGTAATGAAAGATATCCAGAATGAAGTTTCCTGTTTTTTACTTAAACAGCCTGCCATTGAAGGGGCTGAAAGATCCGTCCTCTAGAAAGTTTTAGAAGAATACAGAACATTCGAGAATATTCAAAATCATTCCACAGTATACCAGAACCTTCTGGAACGTTCTGAAATGTTGTGGAATGTTCTGAAGTAATCTTGATTTTTTTGGAAAGTCCCGAAACATCCCAGATAATTGCATAACAATCAGGGGTATAATACAGTATGGAAGCTTTCCCTCCCTTATCCTCGTGTTCAAGAAGATACAAGGGAATTCCCATAAATTCCACAACATTCCAGACAATTTCGGGACATTCTATAACGTGGTGGAATGTTCAGAAGCAATCTGTAACTTTCGAGAACTTCCCGCATCATCTAATACTATAATGAAACGAACAAGAAAATTGAATGTGGTGATAATCCTTTCCTACCATTCATGATAAAGGTTCTCGTTTTTGTCCTATCGAAATTTCTAGAACAATGTATAACATTCCAGATTCTTCGAGGGCATTCCACAACGTTATAAAACAATTTGAAAAATTCTAGTTGCTGTGGAATATTTGAGAATAGTCTGGAACGTCTCGGAGTATTTCAGATCATTGTAGAACTTACAGAAGAGTATGCGGAATGTTCTGGATCATTCGAAGATTCGATCTTTTGTTGTATGCATGGGGCTACCCATTGGTAGTGGTATACAAAAAAAGAGCTGTCAACCTCTTATAACTCAAAGTTATTTCTTCTATATCAACGAGACAATATTTCGTCAACCCCCTGAGCGGAACTGGCTACCCCAATTAGAATTTCAATTTCGAAAAAGGTGAATTACTACCTCCCTAGACTGCACAATAGTTACAATTTTGCGATGAATTCTGCAATGTTGGTGTTGATGTTAATGATGGCGTGGATGGCAATTATAATTTACAAGAATGATTAATTTGATAAACGATCAGTATCATATCCATCTAAACAGATTTTCAATTACCATGTTATGAAACTTTATAGAAGCGACCGATCCTTGATGGAAATCCTTCATTATATTTTGAAAAACACTTTATTGTGATTCATGATTATAATTGCATATTTTCACAAAATAGACCACATACGCATTTTACTGCAGCAGTGATTTCTTCAGTTGGACCAGTTCAACTGGAGATATTGATATTGTAGTTAATAGTGTTATTGATTTTCCCCAAGTTTAGGGTAAATGTTTTGAAAGAAAGCTTCGTTACGAAATGTTGAATCACATGCGAATGTATTAGGTGGGGATCTCACAAAGAAGTGTTGTTTAATAACGATACTACATTATATGTGAACATTACTTCAAACATTAAAATTCAAATTCTCAAAGGAATCATATGTCAACTGATTCACACAAAACGTTCATGAATTATGAACAGAAACCTTTCTTTTGAATCTCTTCCCCCATTTTCAAAAACTGTACCTCAACGATTTGATCTCCAAAAACTTTATTTGAAAAATATATCACAACATGTTTCGCTAAGACATTAGCTTTTTCAAGTGATTCACAAACCATTTGAAAAAGCTAATGGATCTTCATCAAGTAACGGCCGAATCAATCAAAAAATCTTTCCCCATTGTTAAAAACTGTATGAGAGTACGTTTGATAATTTTTGAGTTTATCGCGTTTTGACAGTCAGGCAAACAGGTGCGAATGGGGCGGCTATGTTCAATAATTTCGAATCGATCTAGAAGAACTTGTGATTCCTCCTTATGAATTCCAAAATGTACCACAGGTAATTCTGAATCATGAGGATCGTAAAATGCATATGGAGTATCTTTCAACATTCCGGTCGCTACAAGTACTACTTGGAACAAATAACACAACACAACAAAGTTTTTGTTTCGGGGTTGAAATTAGATGATTTTAATGTATTTCCACGTGTTAAAACCGAAAGTGACCATAAAAATTATATATATGTACCACAGGTAATTCTGAATCATGAGGATCGTAAAATGCATATGGAGTATCTTTCAACATTCCGGTCGCTACAAGTACTACTTGGAACAAATAATCAGAGAATCGCGTATTCAACGATGATTTATTCATTAGGCCAGGTTATCGTCGAATTACATAATGTTATCTCTGATCGCGGGAACGTGAAAATAATCAAGATATGTACCTTCACCTTGACATAAATTGGTTACGTAGTAGCAGAAGGAATTCGCTGTAATTTATTTGATTATGGTATTATTAATCAAATTAATCGCCACGGCTGATGTTGAGGACTGATTGATGTACTGTGTAAATAGTTCTATTTACATTATTTCGAATTGCGCAACGGGATGTGGCCAATTTGATGGAAACCTATTAAAAAATAATCAAATCAGAAGATAACGAACACAATGGATGTCATTGAATAATAATTCGCCTGAAAAAAAAAATTCGTTTGAAGAGAATAAGTGAAAAAACTCGAGAGATGAAACTGTATAGGGTCATTAGACTCTCTAGGTCTTATCAGTGGTGCTCAGCTGAACCACTGAAGTGTTTTGAAAAAAAAAACATGAAAGAAAAGGTGATAGCATCTTCCCCTACGAAGACTCACCAACACTTTTCTAAGCTTGTTTTGAGTAAAATAGCTGATTGTGATATGAGGTCAACTATCAGAATCTTGAGCTCAAGTGATAAGTTGGCCGAATAATCCACACTTTTAGTTCTCCGATCGAAACACCCTCCATCAGATTCCTTCACGCATTCTCTGGATTCGCAACCACCAGACGATTTTTCAGAGTTTCCGGTGTTCCAATTTTCAGAACATGAAGTATCGGAGGCAACTAATATTTCTCGTTCTGGTTCTGCTGGTGGTTTAGATTCTTTCCGCCCTAGCCACATGCGAGACGTCATTAGTCACAGCTCTGGAAATTCAGGACAGAAACTTGTTTCTTCTGTTACAAAATTGTGTAACCTCATTTTTACTGGTAGGTTTACTCCAGAAATTTGTCCTATAATTTTTGGCGCTTCAGAAAAAGGATGGAGGAGTTAGACCGCTTGCTGTCGGTACCATTTATAGTCGATTGGTAGCGAAACTTGGTTGTGTGAGGATCAAAGACGAACTAGGTGTTACTAGGATAGGTGTTACGTCCACTACAGTTTGGTTTCGGTACTGCAAGTGGATGTGAAGCTGTTTTTATGCTGCTCGTAGATATATTGATCTTCATTCAAATCCCGATTCAAAAATTTTCCTGAAAATAGACTTCCAAAATGCCTTCAATTTGATTGATAGAAACATTATGTTTCGTAAGGTTGAAAATTCATTTCCAGGATTATATCCCTTCTTGAGTCAGTGTTATAAATCAGTTTCCTATTTGAGTTTTGGTGAACATCTGATTCTATCCGAGAGAGGTGTTCAATAAGGTGATCCCTTATAACCTGCTCTTTTTTGTCTGGCCATCAACGAACTCACTAGAAGTTTATCATCCGAATTCAATTGTTGGTATTTAGATGATGGCTAAATCGCTGGCGATGAAAATATTGTTTCAAAGGATTTAGAAAAAATCATTGATTATTCAAAATATCTTGGACTGAACTGAGTTGATTACTCTTTCAACCCCGAATCCATCATTCTGAAATCTGCTCCTGAAATAAGAATTTTGAAAAAGTCTAAATGGAGTCTTCTGGGTTCTCCTCTTTCTAAAGATTCACTTTTAGAACATCTTCGAGAAAAATTGCTGTCCACCAGATTGAATGAACTTCCTAGATACGTTGCATTTTACCTTTTGAAAAATTGTTTGGCAAATCCAAAACTCATGTACGCCCTCAGATATTCCCCCACTTGACCAAGTCAGTTAGAGCTTGACGAATTTGATAATTCACTCCACAACAGGACGGAATATGTTACAAACAATCATTCCAATAATGATTCATGGCTCCAAGCAACGCTTTCTGTAAACCTTGGCGGACTAGGGCTACGTTCGGCTTCTTCCTTAGCTTTACCAGTTTTCTGTCATTAGTCAATAGTGTTTCTAATCTTATCGGTTCCATCCTGCCTTTTATATTTATTAATATCAAAGATATTTTTTATGCTGAAGATGAATGACCCCAACTAATATTGCTACTCCTACAGATAAAAAAAATACAATGTGCATGGGACCGACCTCTTCTGAACATTATAACAGATAAACTTCTGAAATTTATAAGTGTATACGATAAGGCTCGTCTGAAATCAGCAATGATCAAGGAGTTGGGTGCTTGGCTGAATGCTTTACTTAGGATGAATATATCTATTTGTGTGCCTCATACTTGTGTTTGCGGTAGTAAAGTTGATGAGAAAGGTACACTTGGTTTGAGTTGCAGGAGAAGTGCAGGGCGTACTTCTCGACATCACCAGGTGAACAATATTTTGAAACGTGCAGCGAATGTTCCTGCAATCCTGGAACCCTTAGATACAAGTCGAGATGATGGTAAACGACCAGATGGTATGTCTCTCATACTATGGAAATACGGAAAACCTGTGGTATGGGACTTCAGTTGCATTGACACGGTCGCGCCTTCCCATCTAGCAGAAAGTTCGAAGTCTGCTAGAACCGCAGCATTGTCTGGCGAAAAATTGAAACGAAAAAAATACTAAAATCTTGGTAACAGCTATCTGTTCCATCCAGTAGCAGTTGAAATTTTTGGTGTTTATGGTTATTCGTTCATGAACTCGGAAGAAGAATAGACCAAGCAACGAAAGATCACCGTTCTACCCCTTTTTTGGTAGAAAGAATTAGTATTGCTATTCAACGTGGTAATGATGCTTCGGTCCTTGGAACTATTCCTCTTTCACATAATTTTAATAAGATCATGCATTCCCCTCATTTCAGTACGGAACTAAAATCTCTTCGAAATAAGCCGAGACATGTGAATATTCATCAGTCTCCTATCAAGGTTCATTTACAAGTGATTGATCCACCTTTATCTTTTTCAGTGCAGTCAATGGACTTAGGTCATTCTTGCGCCCCAAAATATGAGTTGCAGTCCTCGTGGTTCTGGTTTCCTTCAAGTGAAAGAGCTTCATGAAGCAAGAGTCGAATCGATCCCTCTACGAAACCCTTCATCATTTGGAAGGATCGATTGCAGCTTGAGAAATGGTTCTCATGCAGATTCTGTGAAACATGTTCTTCCTTACGAATCAGTAGAGAGTTGTCCTGAGAATAAAATTGAATTAGATAATTTAGGAAACACTCGCTACATGAATAGCATTTTACAAGTGTTTTTTATGACGAAGAATTTCAAGAACGAGGTTTTAATGATGAACGGTAACGAGAATGTTTCCTACTTATTCACCAAACCCAAATACCTGTTCATGCAGCTGCAGTTTCGTAAGAATGTATCATCTTTTCCTCCAACCGATTTCCTGGAGTCTTTGAATTCCACTAAATACTCGTTAGAACAACAAAAGGATTGTTCCGAATTCTTGAGGTTCTTGTTCTTACTCTTTGTAAGCAAAACAATAGCAGAATCAATACTGTTGACCGCTCTGGATTGAATGATTTTTTACAGTCTATCTCGAATTGTGTTTGTAAATTTTTTGCTGGAAATATCTACACTTCTTTATTGAGTCGCCCGGAAGCGCCAATTAATTTTTGTTATTGTTTTATAATTTCATGATTTTATTTTGGAAGTATTATCATTGAATAACATTTTCAGTGATATCTATACATTGAAACTGAGCATATCCAATAACAATCGATAGACTGAAAAGTACTCCTTACCAGAAGATGTTGGCAGTGGACACAAATAAAACCAAGAATAAGAACAACAATCGGCCCGAAGATTATTCCAGCATTTTTCATAGCATCCCCCATAGCGAAAATTCCAGATCCAACATTCCCTTTGAAAACATGCATGAGTGTTTCCAAATACCTGAAAATCGAAGGCAAAATATTAATACTGTGATAAAGTCATTCAAATACTGAAATTAGTTGAAACCAGAGCCTGCAACATAGCCTTCGTGATCAAATAACAAAAAATCCTACGAGACCGCCATAGGTCCCACCAGTGGTGCTAGGCAGAACCACGAATGCTTTAGTGGATTATGTTCATGAAGGATGAGCTTTGGTGAAAAATGGCGATGACATCTCTTTTTTCGAAGACGATTGAGGGAAAAGTCAATTCAAAAATATCGAAGAGGAACCAGACTTCCAAAGGCAGAACGTTGCAATATCAAACTTTGACATCGACCACCTAATGAGATTCATCCTCTCTTTCTTCCTGCAGCTCTCACTGCCAGGCAAATAACCAGAGTCTTAGAAACAAGGTTTCAATTTCACATGTTTTAATGGTATTACAAAATTAACATCTTCAGCTATTACGTGAAAACCAAATATTTGTGAAACCGTGATTATTTCTATTTCGAAACGTATCGGGGTTATGCATGAATAAAATAAGTAAAAAAATGAATTTATGTTAAATGGTTTTATTGAAACAGAAAAATGATCTAGATAATGTACGAAAAGCTAAAAAATAATTCAGAAGGTCCTTGGTAGCAGTCATCACACCACTCTCCTTAGCAATCTACGATATTGGTCAGATACAAAATAATAAAATCGTTGGACGTAGCGTACCTGAGTGAATATGTGAATACAACGCCCAACAATTTCATTATTTGTTTTATCTGATACATCGCTATTATATTTTTTTATTAAATAAACCGTTTAACATTAACAATTTTTTTTTGCTCATTTCATTTTCATGTTTTTAGTTTCTAACTTTGTTACTCAATTCTTCTCAATTTGTTCAGTTCATTTAGTGCCTCAGTATAACAAGGTTTATTTCAAGGCACGTTGTTGCAATCAAACTTCTCAATACATAAACCTCTCAAAGACTTTACTCGACTTAGGGCTACGTATGCTTGCCCTTCTTCAAACCATTCCGAGTCTGAATACACAACTGCGTGGTCTTCAGTGCTGTCTTGCATTTTGTGGACAGTGGAGGCCAATGACAAAATTAAGAGTAACATCCTACTTTCAACCGTCCCATAATTGAACTTTGCTGAAAACTGTATGTTTAGGATTTCCGTGTTAGGAATCACAAGTTAAAAGGTAAGACCTCGTTAGTTCTTAGCTCGCACAAATTTCGACTTCTGAGGGTTGTCGTTCGTAAGAGTGCGATAGCTGGTTTACGGAAAATCATATATACATTTTCCCATTTTGAACAAACATAATAAAATGTACGCCCTCTCTTCCAAAGTTGATCTAATCTGATTCGATATGGCTACGGCCATCTTGAATTTGCATCTTTTTCAAAGTCTACTACTATTCTACTAGTCTGGCCCTGTCATTTGATACCCATATTGAGGTTTTTGTGAAAAAATATGTAATCTGCAATTCTGTAGCTGCGGCCATCCTCGATTTACAATGATAGGTACATAATTTATTTAATTGTATTGTCATCAGAACTGAATGTGTGTACCAAGTATCAGATCAACCTGTCAACAGGAAGGGGGTCGAGGTTCATTTAATGAATTTGACACAAACAAACAAGTCAAGTTAAATGAAACTTTTTTTTAATAAAAATGTTTCGTGGCGATGAGATTCTCAACCTTTCAATAATTTTTAATGGATATTTTATATATCATTGCTTTAGCTCTTGATGGAAATTTTGACAGGGTAGGTCAATTTTTAGTAGTATGTAGTATGGAAGTAGAGAATAAAATTTGTCAAAATCATTCATTAGTTTTTTCTGATGTGTTACGATCAAAAACTAATGTTTTATTGTGTATATAGCTACAAAAAACTGCTTCTACGAAATTTAAAAAAGTTTCTTCACTTTCAAAATCAAAAATGCTATATTAGGCCATATCAGCGAGGAGGGATTCAATTCATTTTAGATAATATGTGAAATGAATTAATTTCAAATGCTTGCAATTGGAGAAATGAATGGAAACAAAAGTACAAACTGTCTGATGTGTTGCGATCAAAAACTAATGTTTTATCGTGTAAACATATAGCTACAAAAAACTGCTTCTACGAAATTTATAAAAGTTTCTTCACTTTCAAAATCAAAAATGCTATATAAGGCCATATCAGTGAGGAGGGATTCAAGTCATTTTGGATAATATGTGAAATGAAATAATTTTAAATGCTTGCAATTGGAGAAATAAATGGATACAGAAGTACAAACTGATATGATATGATAAAATGATACTGAAAAATATTTTTTGAACAAACTTGGAGAGAACTAGGCAAATATACTGAAACGAACACAGAAGTAATTCTATTGAAATTATATCATACCAACCTTCTACGAATATTGAATTGAAATTAAGGTTAGCGATATAATCAAGTAGGTAGAAACAATTTACTTTAACCAGAATTATCTTGGTAAGTTTCACAAAGTTTGATTGCAAACATATCTTTCTTGAATAGGGTGCATTCTGTCAATTGTTTTTGCGTACATTGGCGCAAATCCCTCAACTACTGACGCTTGTTCTTTTTACAACTGAAGTCAGTTTCCCAAGAAATGCTATAAGGAACTTCCACAATAACCATGTTTGGGCTGAAGAAAATCTACATGAGGTGCTTGAAGATCGCTTTCAACATCAGTTCTCGTTAAACGTTTGGGTGCGAATTGTGAGTGACTTCCTTATAAGATCGGTATTTTTGTCAGAAAGACTCACCGGTAAGGTATACCGAAACTTTTTGGAAAAAACGCTATCTCAGTTTCTGGAGAATATACTATTGGTTACAACGAATGCTATATGGTTTTTGCATGATGGAGCACCAGCGCCTTTTAGCATATTGGCTCGAGAAATTTTAACAGTAACATACGGAGATCTCTGGATTGGTCGAGGTGGACCTCACTTATGGTCTGCTCGATCACCGGACTTAAACCCCTTGGATTATTTTCTATGGGGTCTCCTAATTTATACTACTCTAGTGGAAGATGTGAAAGATTTGAGAAATCGGATAATTGCTGAGTGTAACGCAATCAGAAACGATAATGGTGTTTTTGAAATAGTTCGGGAGTCGATGAGGAGAAGATTGGATTCTTGCATCCGAGCAGGGCGTAGTCATTTTCAACAGGTCTTGTAAATTAAGAAACATTACATGTAATTTCAGGTAATAAATTGTGGTATAATTCACATGATTATATTAATACATTCCTTTTGAATTGATAGATGTAGCCACTATGTGGTAGGAGATCATCATCAAAAATGAGAAAAACGTTATTGTATTAGTTTGAAAATAGGACGGAACGGCAGTAACGTTATCTTAGGGACGACGCTGAGTTATCGGGAAGGTTACGTGAAAATAAAAAAATACTTATTGTAGGAACTTCACTTCATAATCAACAACAAATATGTGAAAGGATTATTTCAGATACAAAATTATAGATGTATTCTTCAAAAACTTGATTGGCTTTTACTACTGTCAAGACTGCAGATCGTATACAGAGTGTTCATCGTATGCTCATGTTCATCGGAAATTAATTCAAACCCATAATCTTGGTACATTTCTGATCTTTGGTACGGGGTAATCCTTTTGTAAATAAATCAGCAATCATGTTTTAAGCTGAGATATGCTGCAAAGATAATTGCTTGTTCTGAAGTGATTCACGTATGAAATGGTGCCAAACGTCAATGTGTTTACTTCTGGCATGAAACACTTGATTTTCTGCTAATTTCAGATCAGATATATTGTTATATACTATGACAACGTTGAGTTCTTCAAACCCCAATTTCTATAGAAATCGTCGCCATAAGATTGCTTCCTTAGCAGTTTTGGTCAATCCCATATATTCCGCCTCAGTAGATGACAAAGCGACGGTTTTTTTTGCTTCTTAGCTTCCCAGCATATTGGACATCCATTCAGCTTAAAAACGTATCCACTGTATGAGCGATGGTCAACGGTAGAATTTTTTCAATCAGCGCCAACATATTACTTCATACCACTGTCATCGGGTTTGTACACTAGACCTACATCTATGGTAACTTTTAGATATCGGAGAACACGTTTTGCAGAAGTCCAGTGAGTTCTTCCATAGCGATTGTGTAGATGATGTAGATCATGTATTGAAAACTGAAAAATAATTCGGCAGGTCCTAGGTAGCAGTCATCACACCACTTTCCTTAGCAATCTATGGTATTGATCAGATAAAAAAAAATAAAAAAAATGATAAAATTGTTGGGCGTAGCGTAACCTTAGTAAATATGTAAATACTACATCCAACGATTTAATAATGTTTTCCTTTGATCTATACCATCCACCCCAATGCCACACAGTTTGCCTTAATTTGGGTGATGCATCGCTAACGTCGTTTCATTTTTAGCCGTAACGCCCTCACAGTCCTCTACCCGATACAAAATATTGACTTGGATTAAAGATCCACGCTGGTATCCTGATTCTGAGTTGACAAAGTTCTTGGATTTGCATCTTTTTCATAGTGTTAGGTTAGGTTGGGTCTGAAGTGAGTGGGTGTTCCGATCCTCCACCGCAACCCGCAAGGGTTTATTGTGGCTCACACCTATCCACACTCCACCAAATAAACCCAGCTTCTTAACGAAGCCGATTAGTTTGTATGGTGAGTGATCTTTCAGGTCAGCTAGTAAGAGTACGGCTCTGCCGAACTCTAAAAACCTGATTCGGTTCCCAACGGGGCAGGCTGCTGTTTCATCGTTAATGAAGTAGTCGACTAGTCAAGGTGCAAGATTCCCACCTTGATACCCGCGACAACATTTCCATATAAGGGTTTTTGTACGTCAGCTACACCTGACGATGCCTTTGATTCATCCGTGTAGGGCTTTTTCGCCTATGGTTTTAGTGAATCATCACTTGAGCGCAAACGTTTGCTAATCTGCCCATGGGAAGTGTGTTCCTCCACCTGCCGTACGCCCCTCAAGAAATTGGTGCAAGGCAGTTTCATAAGGTACTCCGCTCTTGAGGAGATGACTCAGTCGTTTCCTGGCTGCACTACCAAACCTTTTTTTTAGGTTTAGTTAATGAATCAGGAGTTGGAGAGTTGAGAGGCTCTCGCTCCTGGTCTAAATTTACATAGTATACTACTACAATATTATTAATAAAGCCCTGTCATTTGATACCCATATTGAGGTAGTTGTGAACAACCATATAATCCGCCATTTTCCAGCTGCGGCCATCTTGAATTTGCATTTTTTCGAAGTGTACTACTATTCTTCTAGTCAAGCCGTGTCATTTGAAACCCATATTGGGGTAGTTGTGAAAAAATATGTGATCCGTCATTTTGTAGCTGTGGCCATCTTGAATTTGTATCTTTTTCAAAGTATACTACTATTGACATTGATTGATTGATACTCACTACTGTCAAAAATGCTGATCGTATACAGAATGTTGGCAGGAGTTGCCACATTCAACACGTCAGTCAGTTTCATTTTTCATTTTTCATGACATTCCTTCAAATATACTGTTGGTAGTAATTACGGAACTTTAGTTATCAAGTTGACGTTATATTTCACCAATTTGTTGATGATATTTTCATGTAAAAAAATCAAATGGAACGTTAGTACAATTCGAAATCATTCTTGAATTGAAGAATGATGAACAAGCAACTTAAATAAAATGATGGTTTATATGTTTTAATTTTGAAATGTATTCAATTCGATATTCAAATAAGAATGATAATTGAAATATCGTGTTGGAATATTATCTTTGAAGGAAATATTTTCATTTTGTGATAAAATATCATGTTAAAACAACACTTCAACTGTATCTGTATCACTTCAGTCTAAATGTAGATTTGCAACAAAAATGATTACTGATAATTATACCTAAAACAAAAATTTTCCAGATATACTGTCAAAAATGCTGATCAAATACAGAATGCTGGCAGGAGTTGCCACATTCAACACGTCAGTTAGTTTCATTTCTCATTTTTCATGACATTCGTTTTAAATATACTGTTGGTAGTAATTACGAAACTTCAGTTATCAAGTTGACGTTATATTTCACCAATTCGTTGATAATATTTTCATGTAAAAAAAATCAAATGGAACGTCAGTTCAATTCGAAATCATTCTTGAATTGAAGAATGATGAACAAGCAACTCAAATAAAATTATGGTTTATATGTTTTAATTTTGAAATGTATTCAATTCGATATTCAAATAAGCATAATAATTGAAACATCGTGTTGAAATATTATCTTTGAAGAAAATATTTTCATTTTGTGATAAAATTTCATGGTAAAACAACACTTCAACTGTATCTATGGGCTTTTTAACAGTCTCAATTTAGATTTGCAAAAAAAATAATTACTGATAATTATACCGAAAACAAAAATTTTCCAGTTTTATTCAAATCAAAATGTGCAATATCAGTTCATTGCTCCTCGACTGCAAAATGGCTAACTATATAAAGTTCAAGAAAAATTCTGATATTTTCAGGAACTATTTTTTGATTTTTCCTATAAAACAACCTCTAAAAATGTTCAAAAATTATATATTACTGTATTGGTACTCCGTCCCCAAATAATGGATACATTTTGTAATCTTGTTGACAACAAAATCAGAAAAATGCTCGATACGTTGATTTTGATTTTGCAACATTGACAGTCAAAACCTTGCGGAAATGAGGTTCACTCATGAAATCGTCGCCTTTCTAATCGACGGTGTTATCGATCCTATGGGACGATTTCGACCGATATGCGTTAACTACATACTGTTTGATGATATCGCAGTTCAGGGTTGTCGTTTGCTGGTTCACAACAAACATTTTTCAAATACAAAACCTAATTGGTGCATGTAACCGTCAACCCCAATCTTCTGAAAGCTATTTTGAACATTTCAACGGCAACTCTTTGAACAATGCCTTGATTGTTACATTTTTGCAACTGAAAATAACACAGTAAGAATTTCGAAATGAATTGATGAACAAAATTTAAATAAAAATAAAAATCAATATTAGAAAGTTAATAAATTAACTGTTGTAATTGTAATTATTCTAGAAACACTTTATTTTTGGCATTTTCACTGAATAGTTTACAAAACCTCAACACGTGTTTTGCTATATATTAGACTCTTCGTGCGTTTTCATACAGACTAAACTTTACATTGAGCTTGCTTGAGGATGCTATTGTATAGCGAAACACGTGATGCGGTTTTGTAAACTATTCAGTTAAAATGTAACAATAAAGGGTTGACTTGAAGACGTTATAGATATCCATCAATTATTGGCCAATTCCATCACATTCTTCATGATTAATTTATGTCGCCTTGATATACATACAGTGCATTTCTTTAATGTCCCTCCCCTTTTATTTTTCGAACGAGACAACTCGAAACATTGAAATTTGGGATGATAAAATTATTGCATGAATACTTTATCTTGAAGTGAAACTGACAAATGAAACTTTCAAGATGGCAACTGGGCGCCATCTAGGAAAAAAATTAATAGAAGGGGGGGTCTCCTTCACAACCCTAGAATATCAAGTCAATATCTTCACCTACTATGCAAAATGGCGGAACATTTAATACTTTCCTGAAGACAAACACATTAATATCGATATTTCTAGAAATATTCCTTTTTATCTGCCATATGGCAATTCCAACAACTCGATGTGGTCTGATGAGTTATTTTTGTTTATAAAACCGACGAAAAATGTCAGTACGACAATGAACATAATTGTTCAGTTAGAATATTACCATTTAGTTTTCGGTTTTACTAATAGAAAGGTACCATGTTAACCTAAAATAGTCAATTCTCGTCCATTGGAAGAAAAAATTTAAGCGATTTTTTATTCACGGTAAGACGCGCAACTTTCACGAAACCGAAATGATGTTAAATGCACGTTTTCTTAATCGTCGTATCGAATATGAAGTCTATATTTTCACCTACTACAAAATGGCGAAACATTCAATAATTTCCTGGAGACAAACAATAATATCAATATTTCTAGAAATATTCCTTTTTATCTGCCATATGGCAATTCCAACAACCTAATAAGGTTATTAGTTATTTTGTGTTTATAAAAACGAAAAAAAAATGTCAGTACGACAATTAACATCATTGTTAAGTTAGAATATTCTCACTTAGTTTTCGGTTTTACTAGTAGAAAGTTACCGCGTCAACAATCTCTAAAATGGTCAATTCTTGTCTATTGGAAGAAATAGTTGAAGCGATTTTTATTTACGGTGCAACGCGTAGCTTTCACGAGACCGAAGGGATTTTCAATGAATGTTTTCCGATCGTCCTATCTGTAGAAAATATTTGAGGGAACTTGTATCCAAATTCACAACTACCGGTAGTGTACATAACAAAAAGCCTCCAGGTCATCCTTCCATTCCGGAAGAATAGCAAGTGCAAATAATTGGTGAGATGGTAGTAAATCCTGAACAGTCTACTTATTCCGTCGCCAATGTTTGGTACTGTGTGGAGACTTTTGAAGAGGAATAAGTATCATCCATACAAATTTAAAATGGTACACCATTTAACTGAAGATGACCCTGATCGAAGAACGGAATTCTGAGAAATCATGATGGAAACGCTTGCAAGGCATCCTACCTATCTCCACAATAGTTATTTCAGTGATGAATGTATATTTTTTTCAAACGGCAATGTTCATAGACAAAATTGCCGTTATTGGAGTGACACCAACTCTCACGTTTTCCGGGAAACACATACCCAATTTCCAGAAAAAAATAACGTTTAGGCAGGAATATTGGAAAACCATATTGTAGGAGAACAGCTATTTTAATATAAACATTGAATTACACGAAAGAAAATTTTTTCGAAACAAATACTGTTATATGAACGATGAATTATACGAAAAACATTTTTCTATTCCGTTTGTATTCCAAATATTCGTGATGGAATCGAATTCCTGAAACTTTTTATACCGGTGAGTTTCTCTGTTGTCAACGGCCAAAATTATTGTTGGTCAATTTTTGTGAGGATCCAATTTTTAGGAGTGGAAATTGTGCTTATCAAATTCTTGTTTTCCGTAAACCAAGAGGTTTCAATATGAATAAACATGTTGGAAAATGTTGTTGATATATTTTGTCAACTATGTTCTATAATTTTTTTGTCTTTGTGAATTACTTCATTTCGTAGATGTGCTTCAAAAAATTTCAAGTTATTGTGTAGGTCTAAAGTATTCATTTATTTGGAACAAAGTCATAATCTACAGTTGCAATCATTTTGAAAGAGTTTTGATTATTTTCAAAATAATAGAGCTTTCTCCACTTGAAGTGTTTTAACATTTTTTCTAACGATTAAATATTATCAATTTCAAATAATACAGGTTAACTGTTTCTTTAACTGATAGATTGTTTCATAGGATTAACTTTGTTTATATTATTATGATATCGCTTCAAAATAAACAATACTTAAACAATACTCACGACGTCGGATGTTCCACTGAGATACCATGACCGTGACCTCCTCCTTTGGATTCTAATTTTTTATCCTTGGTCTCATTCGGCTTCATGATGGGATCCCTGGACTGGAACATGATACTTTCATCACGGCTGGAATATAAAAAATCACTATGAAGATTTTTCACAACAAAATAATAGCAATAACGAAGATCGTATATGTATTATAATAATCCTGTCTGAAATCGTTGACCTGCTTTTTTGAGCAAATATACTTTTTGTATCTGATAAGAAATTTACAGGTTTTACTATACTGAATATCTCATTTGAATGGTTCCATGACAACTAGGAGAGTGAGCAATATTTTTGTCAAAAGAATAGGTATATATAAAAAATGAGGACAGTAATTGTGAGGTAACAAAATTAATAACGTGAATAAGTGCTTGTTTTTTTAAAAAAAATCATCAAACACATGAAGATATAAATTTTCGTGATTCATAATCAAAATTCTATTTTTCCAGTCATTGTTCATTTTCAATTTCATTTCAATTCACCTCAGTCCACATATCATCAAAAATTGTATAGTAAGACATTGAGGTATCTACCCTCAGTTTCAGTTATTCTTGTCGGGGTGCGATATTATTCTATACTCTACTAATTGAATTATGTCTATATTTCATAAAAACAGTGGGGAATATTGAGGAGGATCTTTTTCTATGGATTTTTTTTTGTTTCCATATAGTCGTACTGCCACATTGATGATTATATAATTATTGTGCGGTCATGAAGGGTCATATAGTTTATTGTGATTTTCACTTTGATGGTTTATTCATAGTGAAAATCAGGTTTTATACCTATCATTGTAAAAATCCCAATTATATATTTCAGTAAATGTTGATGTGGATTTTCATATAGTGTACGACAGTTCCATTGGAATTTTCATTTAATTATTCATTTCACTACGCTACACTAGAAGATATAACTAACTAGATGGTCGAAGGATTGTGCACAACTATTACAGGTAACCGCGGTTCATCTTTGATCAGAGAGTTTAAGTATTCTGTCATTTTTATACAGTGTATTTCTTTGATGCCCCCCTCTCCTTTTATTTTTTGGACGAGTCAACTCAAAAAATTGAAATTTGGGATAATGAATTAATGCATGAATACTTTGTTTTGAAGTGAAATGGACAGATGAAACTTTCAAGATGGCGGCGGGGCGCCATCTGGGAAAAAATTAAATGGAAAGGGGAGGTCTTGTGACACATCATTTTGAAGCTCTTGACAAATTCTTCACAATCATAGAATATGAAGTCAATTTGGCTTTCTATTACTCCATCTGATACAAAAAAAAGGGATGAGAGAATCTTCCAAAGAAAGGAAGGAAGTAATCAATTTGAAACTCATACATGAATGTGTAGATCATGCAAAGAAGTAACTTTCAGATACAAACTGAAAGAAAGTCCTCCTGAAACAGCTACTTTCATATAAACATTGAATTACACGTCGCCTGATTGTCTTATTCAACTAAAATATATTTTTCATTTACCTTTTCACAGAAACGCAGCTATCTTTGGATCCATACCACATTTGACCATTACGTTCTACGTCATATTGAGTTTGGTTATGTTGTAACTCCATCCTGAAAAAATGTTTCACTTAAAATTTTGTTTCCATAAAATCCATCTGCTTCGCTATTTTGGAAACTCATTTTACAATATGTTGTGATGGAATATTTATTCATAGCCAGTCGCTTAAGCTTCAATAAACATTTCAATTTAATGTAGACAATGCGTGAATAATAAAAAAATGAGTTACTAATATTGGATCCGTTTGAGTAAATATTGTTTTGAAACTTTTTTATTTTTATGTTCTATGATGATATGATACTATATGATAATGATTTGTTTTTCTATGAAGTTTTATGATCTAGATCAACATCTTTCAACAACTGTCTTTCACTATCCCAACCATTTTTACTTTGCTAAATAATAAAAACATGGATATTTTCAAAATTAATGATGTCACTAAGAAAAGGAATTCTGAAATTGAGAAATTTTATGAACTGAGGAATTGGAATTTCAAATGAGTCCACAACTTTGAACAAATTGAAAATTTTCACAATAACGAAAAATCTACATTTTGGTCAGTCAAAATGAGTTAAAAATAAAAAGCAAGGTTTTTCACGAGACACCTCAATTAAAAATAAATTGAAATATATCCATTCAACAAACAAAGTAACCCAAAAAAAGATAGATGCGTGATCAAAGCACGATAACCACGCACATTTGCATCTATTGGATGAAATAAACAAGCTTTCTTACGATGGCCAATCAGATTTAACTGCAAGTGGCTGAAGGAATTCATTGTTACACTGCCGTTTTGTCGACTGTGCTGTGTATATATACGCTATTTTGGAGTTCAAAATTTTTAAAATGTCAAGTACTGATACGGCTGAAGAAACTGCACATTTGTATCCTAAAACTCCACCTAAAAAACTATCCTATACTCAGCCGCATATTATTACAAAAACGGTCGTTCCTTAGTGCGACTCTGTACAAGTAGCCTTGTCTGGAAAATCTCGTGCACTATGCATGATAATGTTTCAGAGCACTTTGTTGCTCAGATGGGCAGAGTTATAGTACATCAAGAGTGAATAATAAAAAAATAGACGTAATATCAGATTAAAAGACTATTGAAGATGCCTCTAACTACGAAAATTTCGTATAGAAATGCAACAAAGTTTGAAGGTAAGAACGATAAAGAATGAAGAATTTTGATATCATGTAATATATCTGATCATGGTATGCAGGTTACAAGAGTATTGGAATAATAAGCGTCAGTGCAGTGTTTTTCGGAGACTTGGAAGAAATGACAGTCAGATAGATCCCAAGTAGCAGAAAAACAACAGTATTTTTGACCTGAGTTTTATCAAGCAAGTTGGCGTTTTCAGTAAATGAGGTAGACTACTAGTGTGGTGTTTGGAAACAGGGCTTGTTTTGTATTGATTTCACAGAAGAGTTTCCAAAAAATTAGGGTATAAAAATAATTATACTTCTGGTACAGATGATAGAAAATAAGTTTTATATGCAGTAGTTTTATGTAACATACCTATGCTGTCATTCAAATGAGAAATCTTCAAAAGTGAATAAATTTCCTTCGGATATTGTTTGCTTGTGAAACAAAATGTTTGTCATGCAAACAAAACTACTTTCACGCAAATAAAAGTGTGGTTGGTGGTATGTGCTTATCTAGAAAATTTCACGTATTGTCCATGAGTCAATATACATTGAAGAGAAAAATGTATGTATTTTCAGGTAGAGGTTCTAGTAATTTTAATGACGTATATGGAAAAATTGTTCCACATATTCGAATGATTATATGATTGAGATCGTAGGATCCTAATAGAATACCAATAATGAAATTTCCCAGGTATTCGAGGAATTGGCAAATATAATTACCAATTATTTCTGTCGTATTTTAAAAATAACGAATTATTTTCACACACTTGCGAAGTGTTCTAAATACTTGAAAAATTTTGAGAAATCACTAACAAGGTACCGATCTAACTGAACGACTGAAAAGATTATGTAAAGAGAGGTTATAATGAAGGAAAATTGAACGAAAATACTATTCAGAAATTGATGAATTCGAGTGATGACGTTTGGTTTTATGAACCGCATTATTTGGACATTTCTAATAAACCATAGCACAGGTTTTCATGAACACTTCGATGTGATATCTGGAAAAAAATGTTTATTCAACTTCTATTACATTCTTATAAAATAATGATTCATATGAAATAAAGAAATATGACATTTTTGAAATTTGGCTTGAGTATAATTGAAATGTGAAACAATGGAGAGAAAGTAGGATGAGAGTAATTCTTTTTTAATTTTTACCAATTATTCGGCGTGGATTGAATAAAAACATATATGAGGATCGTGATGAGTACTGAGAAGTATACATATTAAATACCGAGTGACTTAAAAGACAGGGTCCACGACGTCATTTAGTTGCTTCTGTACGAAGACATTCAAAATTTGAAACAAACGTATGGTTCTGTAGTGCAAACAATTGGAACCTATTTTGTTTCAATCGGAGATGAACTCCAGTGAATAATTTTGAATACAACTCTGAATAATATAACAATCAATAAGGCGGCACCGTGACGTCATCTGAGGACATATTGGAGGAACAAAATACCATTTCACTCTTTATTGTCCTTATTACTTGATTTATTTCAAAAACTCAATACATTACATTTTATTAAAGTGTACCCATTGAACTATGAAAAAATATCAAAGATACTTGTGTTTATTTTTGTGCGAGTTTAGAGTTTCTCACCCAAAAACAACTGAATGGGGGCATTGCATACACCAATGTTTTCATTGTTACTAGGTATATATTATTTAATTATTTCGATATAACTTCTGGAGTATGTTCATTAGGCAAGAGGTTTATGTTTGAGATAAATCTTATTGTGTCAGTTATCGCTGATTATATATTTTCATAATCGCAGGTCATTATACAACTCCAATAAAAAATGACGCACACAATATTTCCAATCACTCGTCTTGGGAAATTACATTATATACTGTGTGTTTCACTTCTCATGAAAACACTTCAATATGTTCCTTTACTACTAGCATAAGATTTTGAAATTTCAGGATGAATTCACTGAAACACATGGTGTTTCAAAATGACCACCGAAAGTTTCGAACCAATATTTTTAAAAGAAAGATTCAATGAAAATCATCCACAATTGAAGTTTATCTCAATTCTTATATTCTCAACCTCTTATTTTCTGGTATATTTAAAAAAATATGTTTTTCCATTAATCAGCTGTCACCCCCATACGAACGACAACTCTCAGAAGTTGAGAAAAATGTATA